GCCGCCACCGCCGGGGCCTGACCGCATGTCTTCCTGAGATGGGTTCCAGAGCCACAGCGGAAACAAAGGTGCTCCCGACGACGTCTCTCGAGCTCCTCCGCCGACAAGTTGTACTTGGCCGCCATAGCCTCCGCGAACGCCACCGCCGCCACCACGCTGGTCTGCTGCTTCTGCGGCTGGGAAGGCTGCTGCTTCGGTTGAGCCGCACGCTGACCATAGAGCGGCGCCTTGTAGCTCGGCTGCGGCTGCGGTTGAGGCGGCGCCGCTGTGACCTTTCGGCTCTCCCACTCCTGCACCGCCCACAGGCTCGCCATGAGCTCAGACGGCGGGAGAGTCTTGGGTATATTCTCCATCCGCGCGAACTGGTAGACTTCGTACGACATGGCTGCCCAGATAGCGTTCGCGATCTCCCGACACCTCCGCATACTTGTCGAGGACCGTCTGGATCTCCAGCACCGACAGCTTGCTCATGTTGACAATCGCCTTCTTCGCATTGGGACGTTCGTTGGGGTCGCAGCCGATCGCAGAGCTCCTGGTGCGAGAGCCCCCACCACTTGTCGCTGCCAGAGGCGAACCAATCGGCGGCCGACCCGACCAAGGTGAGAGACAGGATCTCGTTCCATCTCTCCTCTGGAAAGTACGATCGGTAACGCTTCAAGTCCTTCTCGTATTGGGTCAGCTTTGCCGCCGTGCCGTCGAACGAGGGGGCTAGCAGCTTGGGTGCCTTGGCGGGCTGCCAGTCGACTGCCTGCGGACGGGGTGCGGGCTGGTGGACCGCCGGGGGTGGGACCGACGATGACGAAGCCAGCTTTTGCGGCTCGACGTTCGTTTCAGTTTTGATCACGCCGCCTTGACCCTGGTGCGCTTTCGTCAGATCCTTCAGATCTTCATCCTGTTGAGGTGTTTCCTCATCATCCTTGGAGTCTCCTTCCAGATCAGAGTTCTCGAGCTCCAAAGCAGCGAGCTGCGCCTGAAGAAGCGCGATCTTCTCTTTTCTCGCTGCCGTCTGTTGCCTCGTGTTTGCCGCGGGGCCTGCGTTTGCCTCAGCGCTAGTCGAAGCGCTGGTTGGAATGGGTACAACAGACATCGGGTGACTGTAGTCAGAGTCTGCAATGTGTAAGACCTTGGTAGGGTTAACCAGGCAATGTTGTTGTAAAGTGTTGTATTTCACTTTGCAGACTGAACTGCAATTCCAAATGCATGCAAACAAACAATACAAAGACATCAACGCCGAGTCTTCTTAGCAAAGAACGACCCAGTCGGGACCGCAGAGCCTGCGGGTCCGACGCAAACTGATGGTAATTAAACATATCCGACATAAAGAGTTTGCAACATCGCATAGCAAGTGCGAACTTGAACTTGCCAACCTTCGCGCATTTGTCGGACGATGGGATGATTCACTTGCTCGATTGCGAAAAACTCAACGGTCGAATCGTCGGAAGTCGGGTTTGCAGCACGTTCGTATCGAATAGCACCTTGCTCGTCTCGGATAACCAATTCAACAACGCTGTTGGGTTTGGCGTAGGGATCGTTCCCCAGATCACGAAGCACTTGAATCGATTTCACTCGGCTCGAATTTCCATCGATGTTCCGAGGCACTGTGACTCCAAGAATGCTTTTGGGAAGTGCACCGGAATCCATGATGGGTCGCATGCTTTTCTGCACGCCTTGCCAGTACAAGGCTTGGTCCATAATGAACTCGGCTATCTCCGCGGGTAATGCTGGAAGAGATGCCGATTGATCATGCAGCTCTGGTCCGCGGGTCAACAAGCGGAACACGGAGTGGAGGTCTTCAGCCTTTGCGAATCGTGGGAGTAAGGAGAACACAAGACTACGCATCCCGTCGCAATAGCTGCGCAACAAACCAAGTGATTAATCATCAGGCCATTGCATGAATCTTGGTTGAAGGATTTCATTTACAGGAACAAGCAACATACCATTTCAGAGGACGGTTGACTTTGCGTGTCTCATCGAACGCTTGAACAGCAGCATTGCTGGTGCAATTCGTTTGCAGACTGTCGCTTAATGGGTGAGCAAAATGACCACGTAGCAAAGCCTCGCCCAATGTGCGAGACGAGCAACTTACTAGAACCTAGTCACTGTCGTGTTCACCATGAGTGCTTCAGCCATCGCCTTTGCTCCAACATCGCCAACGTGATTCGCACCCAAGCTGTCCGTGGCACGACAAAGAACCGTTACTGGTGCCTGGTGCATCAATCTCTCGCCTGCATCAGGTCAAGCGCAATGCCTTACTAGACCTTAGTTACCGTCTTGTTCACTTTGAGTGCCTCAGCAATCGCCTTCGCCCCGACGTCGCCAACCAGATTCTGGTGCAAACTGTCCGTTCCCTCCATCGGTGAGCACTCCGAACGCCTTTTGTTGTATCTCCCATTCACATGCGTTTGGTGACTTGCTCGAGCGGAGTCACCGACGTGTTCACTTTGAATGCCTCGGCAATGGCCTCCGCTCCCGCATCGTCAATCTGATTCGAGCTTAAACTGCTCATCTCCGTCCAGCAGTGAGTACTCTGAATACATCCACCGGATCGTCCACTCACATGCACCAATCAAAGCAAGATAGATGCCTTACTCGAGCTTCCTCAATGTTTTGTTCAGCTTGAGCGCCGCAGCAATCGCCAGTGCTCCAGCATCGCCAATCTCATTCAGACCCAGGCTATCCCTTCAATGAGCACTCTGAATGCACTCGGCTGAATCACCCACTCATACGCATCAGTGACCACGGGAAATGCCTTACTCGAGCTCGGCCAGGGTCCTGTTCACTTTGAGTGCTTCAGCAATCGCCTCAGCCCCAGCATCGCCAATCGCAGTGCAGTCCAGACTGCTCCATCCCCTCCCCTTCAATGAGCACTCTGAGTGCACTCACATTGCATTAGTCAAAGTGCGATATGCCTTACCCGAGGCGCCTCAGCGCCGTGTTCACTTCAAGTGCCTCGGCAATCGCCTTTGCTCCAGCATGGCCAATCCGATTCGAATTGAGACTGTCCGTTCCCTTCCATCAATGAGCACTCTGAATGCCCTCAGTGGAGTCACCCACTCCCATGCATCAGTCAACGTGAGATGACCTACTGAATATAAGTCAGCACTGTGTTCACTTTGAGTGTCTCAGCAATCGCCTGCGCGCCATCAACTCCAATCTGATTTTGGTACAAACTGATCGTCCCTCGTTCAGTGAGCACTCTCAATGCCCTCTGTTGAAGTCACTCACTCATCTGCAATCAATCGAAGCGAGATGTTTTACTTGAGCTCCGACACGGTCCAGTTCACTTTGAGTGTCTCAGCAATTGCCCGCGCTCCAGCATCGCGAATCCGATTCCTCCACAAACTGTCCATCCCCTCCATCAATGAGCACACTGAATATTATCACTAAATTCGTCTACTTGCATGCATCGGGACAAGTGAGATGACTTACGAGAGCCCAGTCACCGTCATAGTGACTTTGAGTGCCTCAGCAATCGCCCGCGCTCCAGCTTCGTCAATCTCACGCTTCTGCAGACTGGTTGGTGTATTTCATTTGGTCAACGCGCTGTCGCACCTTGCTTCCAAGGAATACGGTTGTTTCTTACTCGAGTGTTCCACTCGTATTTCGGACTGCGTCATACAACTCGCGCTCTGTCATTCTTTGACGTCAAAACTTTCAAAACACACGGGCTGTTCCAGTCAGAGGTTGTTGTTTTGCTTATTTTCGATGTCCACTCTACAAACCCATCTCTTAATCGCAGAGCGCGGAGCCCAGGTGGCATCAAACGCACGGGAACTGGCAGAAGCAACGCAAGACCCAAAAGAAAGAAAAGCAAGACTGAACGAAAAACTGCACGGAACTTGACCTGAAATCTCTCTTGAAGTGTACAGAATGGATGTGGATGTGTCCATTACTGAGAGTATAGTGAAGAATGAGGGGAGCACCGATTGGGGCAGAGCCCAGTTCGCAAAAGTACCCAGTCCAATTTGTCATGTTTTGCGCCAACACCAAAGCACTGTACCTGTCCAGTCCGGGATCCTAACTTTGTGCAATTGAGTTGTGGATCATTCGGTGTTGATGACTCATCTCACCCAACAAAAACACAGTTGGGAGATTTTGGTGTGTGCCTTTTTTTTTTTCTTTTTTTTTTCTTTTTTTTTTGTGAAAATTCGGAGTTGGGGATTGGATCGATGAGCCTGTCAAGCACGCTCTCGCAATCCTCGCGAAATAGAGCAAAATACCGTGCATACGACTCACAACGGCCGGAAAGCAAGCCTTAATACGAGAAACCGGCTCAACCCAAACCTCCGCCAATCTGATTCACGCATACCTCGACGTTGCAGCGATACCTGCTCCTTCTGAGCCAGCCCTTTTCAAAGTAAACCAGAAATATTATTGCCAACCCCTGGATCTAAAGCTTACGGTTGAATTTTGACCACAGGGCCGCAACATGACCAGATCGAACAGCGCCAAATTTGTGGCTCGATAATGGCCTTTGTTTGATGTCCGTTCGAGATTTCGCCAAGCACGGTTTTAGCTTGTTTGTGTGCTTGTTTCTTTTGTCTTGTCGAGACCCACGCTAAAATGGGTTGTATCGCCGCGGTTCAATTTTTAGGGCGACATGCGGGGCGCAAACATACACCTCATAGAGCGACATTACCTGGCTCTAGAGCCGGTGAATTTGGCTTGGCTCAACGTCTCTCACAGGTCCATCTACACCGCGCACTAAGCACATTCTGCTGCGACACTGTCTGGTTCATAAAATTCAAGGGCTCCCAGGCGACGGATGCCACACGTTCATCGCCGTTCGCTTGAACAAGTGACTTGATTCACCTTTGTGACGAACTGGGCTCGTCCCCAATCGGTCTTCCCCTCATTCTTCACAAAATTCATTAGTAACCGATACCTCCGCATTCAGTTCATCCGCTTCAGTAGTGATTCCAGGGCAAGTTACGGGGGTAAGGTCGGAACAAACAGCTTCAATTTCATGATTTTTGCATTGATTCGACTGCTGTCCTGGGTTCAGCTGCGTACTGTACACTCCACCGATCCTCAAGTAGCCGTTTCTTCCTTTTAGCGAGTTGGCCGTTCATTCTTCCTTTCAATGAGTTTCTTTGGGTTTGACACGGCATTGGTAAGAAGCTTTTTTTTTTTTTTTTTTTTTGTTGTTTGTTCGTGTCGTTTCATTTTTTTTTTTTGGGTGACTTCGTTGTCGTATCACACAGCCACCGGATCCCTCTGGCGCAGCTGCGACGGACGATCAGCTCGAGCTCGATGACACGCACAACGACGAGACGTTCGGTGGTTCCATTGAGATTGGTACGTTCTCGTGCGCTGCATTGCTTGCGTTGATGCATTGGAGTGTGTTGCATTGCCCAGCTGCATCCGCGCTTGCCATCGTGCTCCCCACCTGACCGCACTTGGCAAGGGCATGGCAACGTGATTGCTGCATCCACATCGCCAACCCACAGAGTGCACTCGCCAAAGCGCTGCAGGATGCCTTCAGTGGACGAGATCTCTGCTCTTTTTTTTTTTTTTTTTTTTTGCTTGGGTTGGCTTGGCTTGACTTTGCTGTTCTCCCTCGTTCTCTCTCCCTCTCTCCCCCCTCTCTCTCGACCATCTCGGAAGGATTCACGAGAAGTGCCTACCCTGTGCTTCACTGTCAAACGCGTTGCAGCGTAGTCGCGGCTTTGCTTGTTCGCTTTGTGTTTCATTGCATCACTCTCTGGCTCCATGCTGACTTTGTGATGTTGTGACTCATTTACGCGTGTGTATATCTATGTGTGTGCTCTCATTCTCATTCTCAGGTACCGACTGGGAAATGTCCAACGACCAGCTGGCAGCCATTCAGGCCGAGTTTATGCGTGGTTCGACGGCAGCTCCCGCTTCGACGCTCCCTCCCCTTGCTTCTGGTCTTCCCGGTACGCATTGCGTTGCGTTGCTGCTCACTATTGAAGTTGGTCGTCGCTTGAATGTTGTCTCTGACGCGAGGCCTGCTTCGTCTTTCCGTTCCTCTGTTCAGAACCGTCGCACGATCTCGCTGCTCCTGGCGAATCTTGGGCTGCTGCTGCTGATATCGATGTTGCAGCACCCATGGCTCAGCTTCGTATCGAGAATAAGCCCCCATCCAGTGGAGCCGCGCCCCTCTCCTTCTCGGTAAATCGTGACTGTTGATGCTTGAAGCTGCTTTTTTTTTCTTTTGGTTTTTTTTTTTGTTTTTGTTTGCTTGCTGCCCACTCAATTGCCGATTCGTCTTGTTTAGACTACCTATGGCAGCGAGTATGGCGGTGCAGCCGTGTGGGGAGATCCGCAACTGAGCAGCATTTGGGGAGCACCAGCTGTTGCAAAGCCTGCGAACAAGATGGTGTCGGTGGCCGAGCTGGAGCAGCAGCCGTCTCAGCAACCTCAGCCGCGCATGTTCTCTCTGGCGGAAATCGAGCAGCAACAGCAACAAACCCCCCAGCAGCAGTTCCAGCTTCCGTATGGCGCGGTACCGCCTGGATTTCCCGTGCAGCCTGGACATCAAGGTCTGCTGCCGCAATCCTTCCCCGGCGCGCCAATGCCCATGTACGGATTGCCGCCTGGCATGCCACTGCCACCAGGTTTCAACATCATGCAACAGCAACAGCAGCAACAGCCGCAGCAGCAACAATCGACGGCCATTCCCGAACCCTACGCGCAGTACTCGTCACTTGTTGCAAGCGGCTTTTTGAACAGCGCTTCCTTCCACCAGCCACTCGACACCAACGCAAACGAGCCGGGCATGATCCGAGACCAGCGCGGCAATCGTCGTCGCTTCCAGCTCATGTCGCGTTCGGACAAGGAGTTTGTCATTCGCGTTCAATTGACCACCCTGCAGACAGACAACCCGTTTGTTGATGACTACTATTACCAAAGCTACATGCAGCGCAAGCACCACAAGGAAGCAATGGCTCCCCGCTTGGTGCTGCCCCAGCAGTCGGCGGCTCAACAGCAGCAACGCCAGGCCTACTTGCAGCATTTGCAGGCTCGCAAGGCCGCGCCCGTGACTGGTTTCGAGAATGTTCTCGGCAAGTTGCTTGTCGGATCCATCCACAATCCTCGTCAAATGATTAGCGTTGCCAGCTCGGACAAGTCGGGAGCCAACGAGGTATGCAAGCTCAGTTTGTCTCATTGCTCTCGTTTTTTTTTTTTTTTTTTTTTGTTATCTCGGTCGGGATTTTGGTTTCAATCCCAGTCGTATTCCAGATGTCCGAGCGATACTTGCTCACTGAATGTTGCTCTCGCTCGTTTTGAACGGACAGAGCGAAGACAAGATTGTCAGCCGCCGCCGCAAAATCCTTCGCTTTATTGAAGCTGCATACCAGACCATGATTGACATTGAGGACATTCAGAAGCAGGCTGCTGCATGCGGACCACAAGAGCGGTAAGTCACGGCACTTGTCTTGTGTGCAAAGGTGTATTTGAGTTGATTCTGAGTCTGCTGTCCCCTCTTCTTGCTTGTCTTCAGCCAACCGTTCTTTGTCAAGCGAGCAGCCTTGGTCAATGATCTGTTTGCCGACCTTGCCTTGCCCGAGAGCACCGCGGCCAGCGAAGACGCGGCCTTTTACGATCTGCTCTCGGTTCCGAAGGGCCTCAAGCTCGTCCGTCGTTTGCTCCCTCTGTTCTCTGAGAGTCAGGGGTTTGCTGTCGTGAGCGCAATTCTGCACCGTATCGAGGCTTACTCGGCCGGTCGCACTGGTTTGTCGGGCACCGATCCCGTCGAGATCCACAGTCTCCTCATGTCGCACGTTGTCCCGCCCGTCGTTCGAGTGATTGAGCTCTTCTCCGCCGCTCGCGTTCTGGCCTGCACCGACATTGCGCTTTCCGTCTTGACACCAGAGAATGCGTCCACAATTGTTGGTGGCTCGGTATGGTTGTTGTTGTTGTTGTTGCTGCTGCTTCGCTTCAATCTGCATGCTATTGGCTGACCGCGAGGGATTGCTATGCTCTTTTATTCGCCACCACGCAGCTGGGTGTTACCATTGTCTATGCCTTCTTGCGCCGAATGGACCATCTGCTTTCCGATCCCAACAGCACAACCCGGGCTCAACAAGACAAATGGTAAGTTGGACGCGTGTGGGTTGTTGTTGAATTGTGTTTGGGTTTGTCTTGGATTGTTTGTTTTCGGGACTGAACATTCTTGTTGAATGTTGTAGGGTTGGTTTTGTTGAAAAGCTGGTTGGTCTCCTCCAGGGTCAGTTTGCCCATGTGGTGAGCCTGTGCCTCAACCATCGCAGCTTGTGGGTGTTTGCCATGCTCTCGATTCTGCTCAAGTACGCTTCAGCGTCCAGCAAAGCATCGATCAAGCAAGAGCTCGAGTAAGTTTCCTTGTGCGAGTGTGTGTGCGTGTGTGTTTGTGTGCGAGTGTTTCGATGGTTTTAAGCGTGATTCGTGATTCGGATGCGACGTGGGACAGTCGGTGATTGGGTGATACGGCTCGCTGACCTTTTTTTTTTTTTTTTTTCTTGTAGGCCAACCTTTGCCACCCTGCCAGACGGCCTGCAAACCTCCCCCGCTGTGAAAATGTTGCAGCAGCAGCTCAACTAAGCCAAGAATCCGTGGAATGCTCGTGCGCCAAAGTAAACAAGACAACAAGCGAACAAACCAACAAATAAACAACAAATTCCCAGCCAAAAAAAAAAAAAAAAAAAAAAACCAAAAAAAAAAAAAACCAAAAAAAAAAAAAAAAAACCAATCAACTTGTAATTTGACAAAGAAATCCACAGATCACCACATCACACAATCGCATTCTTGCGCCGCTCTTTGGGCGGATTTGACAATGCGGCAAAAATGGCAGATAGGCTCAGGCTCTTGTCCCCCACTGAAGCAGTTGGTCGAGGCGATGTGGACGACGGCCGGGAGCCACCCGACAAGGTACGATGCAGAATGGCTTGCGATTCCAAGGATGGCCTTGAGCCGCCAGAGAGAGTACGCTGCAGAATAACTTGGGATTCAAGACCCTCGGGGGCAGTTGGTGTCACGGAGGCAGTCGCAAAGCTGGCGACTGCACCACTGGCTGCCGAAAGCCGCGGGTCGACAACATCACGAGGATTGGTGAAGACTAGGGAGGCCGAGAGTGAATCGGCAAAATCATCGTCTTCTTCCGCAGGGGCGCCGGTGCCTTCGAGTCCAAACAACGAAGCGCTGCTCTTGCGGATGCCGTTTCGCGTTGCCGCCACGTTCAGCGGAGCGGCTTGCATAGAGGAAGTGGATTGCTTGCTCGGGGTGCTGCCACGGGATCTGGCCGACAGCGAGTCGTATCGCAGTGTCGCGAGAAACTCGAGAGCTGTTTGAAACGTCACCAGGCTGTAGCCGTGGGCACCCAGCATGAGCCCCTCATCGACGAATTGGGTCATCATGTCCACCTGAGCAAGAATGTCGGGAGGATTTGCACGCACAATCACATGCGCCAGCAAAGGCAACAAGTCTTCGCAACCCAGCGACACACGAGGCGCAGCCACACCACCCGAGGCCGCATAAAAATCGTCGACACATTGCTGGATGGCGCGTGTGGTTTTGAGCACGCACTCAACCTTCGCAGACGGTCCGCGCAGCGAACCAATACGACCAAGAATGGCGACTGCTGGATCATAGGGCGAGGGCTTTGCTTTCTGGTGGGACGCGGTGGCTGCACCGCTGGCATTCAGTCCGGCAGCAGTGCCGGGAGCACCTCCGGCGCGCGAAACCACTGTGACAGGTGCCGTCACAGAAGGCGCAGTCAGCCAAAACTTTTCGGCCACGCCCAGATGCGCCGGAGTGACAAAGGCAAATTGCGTCATGTTGTCGTGAAGTTGCTCTTCTTTTGCGGCATGGAAGCCGCGATACAACTGCAGCAGCGGCGCGTGGATTCGTCGGAAAAGAATGGTTTCAATCGCCAAGCGACAGTGCACAAAGCCATCGTCAGAATCGAGCTCGGCAAAGACGCGAATGAGCGAAGCGTGCAGACGGTCGATGAAGCCTTTGACCTCCGCTGCGAGCCTCGGTAGAGCTGTGGTCAACATGGTAGAAGTTGACGCAGTCGCCGTAGAAGAGAGCACGGGCGACGAACCCGTCTTGGCAGGCAACAGGCGCGGCTGAATTGCCGATGAGTTGGCGCCCGTAGACGACGCTCCCGAGGAAAGTGTCCCAAGAGCGGCATTGCTGCTGGAGGACGGGACTGCAAGCTCGCCACTCAGCAGTGTACGGCGGGTGCCGCCAGTGGTTGCCTCGCACTGCTGGATGAATTGAACACAAAACTCGTCGAGCATGCGGCCCATAACATGGTCACGGGATTGCAGCATGCCAATCACATGCTGTGAGATGAGATGCAAGTGATCAACAGACGAGCTTGGGGTGAAGGGCGGTGGTGTGCCGCTGTTGGTGTTGTTGGCACTGGTGTTGTTGTTGCTGTTGTTGTTGGCTTCTTCGTTCCAAGACGCGCTGGCAACGCTGAGTGTTTCCTCCCATACTCGCTCGCGCGAATCCAACGGGTTGTGGGAGACCTTGTTGGATGCGCTGGAAAATTGCTGCTGCTGCACGAGAGCGTCGTCAAATGAAGCATCACTGGCAAAGCCCTTCTTGAGAGCAGAAGCAGACGTGGCCGCCGAGTCGTTGGCAAGACTGGCCCGTTCAAAGTCAACGCGGCGCAGCGTTTCTCGGATGATTTCACGAATCGACATGGCGAAAATCTTGTCACTAAACATGCGATTACGAACCGCAGCCATATGAGACATGCTTTCGACAGTATCCATGAACTGATTGCACATTGCCAAACGCTCGCGCCGCGACAGCCCATCACCTCGTGCCAACGCAGCAGCAGCAGCAGCAGCAGCAGCAGCAGCGGGAGAGCCCGTCAAGACATCGCTTGCCAACGAGGACCGCGTATTGCGTGACATTGGCTGAAGCTCGACAGCTCTTTGAGGAGCAGGCTGGGATGGCGCAAAGAGGGGATGGCTGGACTGGCCCGCAGTGTTTGTGGAAATACCATACAGCTGAGCATGTTGCTGCTGCAATGTTGAAATCGCTGTCGGGGCTGCTGCGGGCACTGATGGCCGGTTTGGCGATGCCAAACCCAAACTGGAATGCTGCGCGAGTGGAGCGCCAGTGGCAGCCAAAAACAAGTCAGCAGGGCCAGAGGCAGCAGAGGATGCACCAAGCCTTGACAAGGAGCTCTGGAGGTCGTCCTGCTCATCCATCTCGTCGGGCGAAACGGGGTCGGCAGCACTGTCGGAAGTGCGGGCTTGGTGCAGCAATTCTGAGATGCGTTCGCGCGCGGAAAGAATTCCGGAAAGCTCGACCCACACGTCATCACGCTCCTTTCGAAGCAGCATCAGCTTTCTGGGCAACACATGAGGGCTGGGGCTTCCTGGAGTTGGCACAAAACTCGAAGAATTGCCAGAATGAATGTCCGACGCGAGCTGCTTCTTGCACCAATCAACCGCGTTTTGTTTCGCCTCGAGTCGTCGCTTTGCCAACTCGGCCGAGCTGGACAGTGAGTCAAACAGGGTTGACAAAAACAGCGAAGGGTAGGCCGAGCCATTTGCGAGGACTCGCGGCAAGAGCACAGAGCGCAAGTCTGCAATCTTTTCTTTGAGTTTGAACGTTTCGACAGACTGGAGGCCAAGTTCGCGGTCGATGGCCTCAATGCACGTTTGCTGCAGCGTGATGCACATTTCGAGCGCTCGAGCGCTGCACGACACGGGCACGATCAATGGGCACACTGTTTCGTGCAGAATGTCCTGCAGAGCGGGAGCGACGGGCTTGTCAGTCTGGAAGGCCAGGGCGCAAGTGCTGTCAACACAGTCGTCCGACATTGCGACGCAGTAGCTGCGATCACTGTCTCGATAGCGACATTGAATGACACCGCGACCTCGAAACCAGGCGAGATCGTCTGCCGTTTCGCGCGAGTCCACCGACGAAACAGACAGAGCAGCCCCGCGGCGCAGCAAATCCGTTTCTGCGACCACAGCCGCTGTCAGCGACGACGGCGATGTGGACAGCATAGCAGTCGCTGATGCCGCAGCGCCAGAGCCAGAGCCAGAGCCAGAGCCAGAGCCAGAGCCAGAGCCAGAGCCAGAGCCAGAGCCAGAGCCAGAGCCGGTCGGCAACGAAGCGCTCGCAGCAAGCCAGGACGTGCCGGCGACCGCAGCCACGGACGGCATGGCCTCACACACGGCGGCCCACAGCACTTCATGGGTCATTGGTGGTGCAGATGAGGGCGACTCGCGCTGGGGACCCTTGCCTTTGCCATTGCCATTGCCATTGCCATTGCCATTGCCATTGCCTTTGCTCGGGGTGCGCTCGTCCTCATTGTCGTCGTCGTTGTCGCCAGCCGGGAAGACGTCGTCCGAGGCCGGCTGAGCTTGATTCATCATGACTGCGTCTGGGTGCAGGACGACGAGGTGGATGTTGTCGAGCAGCGAGAGACGCCACAGCACAGAGTGTACCAGCTGAGCGTCAGCAGCCTCGCGATCCTCAACAGGGCGCCCGTCCACACGCACACGCACGCCGTCGAACGACACGCGGTAGTGCTGCTCGCTCGCAATCACAAGCCCAGCCACGCTCTCGACCACCTGCGACGCAGCCTCGAGCCTGGCAGACGAAGGGGTCGTCGTCGGCGTCGTCGTACTCGACGGTGCTGCTGCTGCTGCTACTGCTGCTGCTGCTGCTGCGCCGTGCCACAGCCGATGCCGCGCATTGAGCAGTGAGATGAGCTGCGGGAAGAGCTGCCGGCACGGCGGAGTCAGCACCGTGACCGACAGACCCAAGTCCATCAGAAAGAGAGAGAGAGAGAGAGAGAGAGAGAGAGAGAAAGAAAGAGAGAGAGAGAAAGAGAGAAAGAAAGAGTGAGTGACAAGCTGAACATTGGGCTGTGGTTCTCTGATGTTCAGTAGTAAACATTGGACATTGGACAGTGAACATTGAACATTGGTAATGGCATGGGCTGACAAAAACGATGAAAGATCGCATAGAACTGCGCTTTGCTGCTTGTGTGTGTGTGCTCGATTCAGAACCTTGCGTTTTATGGCAAGGACAACAAAAGATCTGCCAAGGTTGTTGGAAGAGAGAGAGCCAAACATCTCTCTGCTCTACGGGAACCGCCGTTTGCCAGATCCAATCTCGCGTTTGGGGTGCAGCTCGCGCTCGGCCTGCTGTGCCATCAGCATTTGCAAAACATCGGTTTCGACAATGTCACCGCCGCCGAGACAGACTCCGTCCAGGTACAGCGCAGCAAACTGGCCGGGAGCAACTGCAGCGAATGGCCGATCGAGCTGAATGTGAAGCTGATGCAGACAAAAAGCCAAGTTCGGTGAGAAACAACAGTCGACAGTCGGCACCCGCCAAACAACCCCGTCCCGCCAGCAAAAGCAACATGCATACTACAAAACAACGCAACAACGACCCTACCTTGACTGGACTCGCCTGGCCCGACTCGTCGGATTGCAATGTCACGGTGCAAGGCACAATCGGCGCTCGATGCCGGAATCGCGCACCACAACGTAATTGTTGGCCTTGTCCGCCTTGAAGCTCCAGTGGTGGTACTCCTGCTATCCAACTGGGTGCACTGACCACGATAGACCGCGAGTACATGCAGGACGGGTCTGGTTCCGCGAGATTGCTTGCATCCACCAGCTTGGCTGGAACCGCTGTCGTGCCCGACTTGTTGACAGTGTCGCCAAAGATCTTGTATGCTCGAGATATAGCGCTCGCTTTGGTCACAATGACGGCATTGCGAGCGCTGTCCTTGGCCACTACGCAAAACTGATCGGCTCCACCGGGAAGCCCACGATGCTGACCGACCGTGTACAAAAAGTGCCCCTGATGCTGGCCAACAATGGTTCCATCGGTCAATTCAATGTATCCTGGTTGTGGTGCAATGTAGTTGGAGATGAAACGGTCAAAGCGGCGTTTGCCCACAAAGCAAATGCCGACGCTTTCCTTCTTAGTAGAAAGCTCGATGAGTCCAATCTCGTGTGCAATCCGCTTAACTTGATGCTTCTCCAACCCGTAGAGTGGAAAGAGGGTGCGAGACAGCGCCTCACTCGAGATGGCAGCCAAAAAGTACGTCTGATCTTTGGCCTTGTCGTGCGCCTCAATGAGCTGGGGATGAGGAGACAGTCCGCTTGCAAATGCAGACCGATTGACACCGGCATAGTGTCCAGTGGCGAGAAACTGAGCACCGAACGAGGTTTGGACGACATTGAGCAACGCCTTAAACTTGATTTCGCGATTGCACAGAATGTCCGGATTTGGGGTGCGTCCACGCTGATACTCTTGCAGAAACACTGTAAAGACGTCGTTCCAGTACTCCTTGACAAAGTTGACCGTGCGAAAGGGGATACCCAGCGCTGCACAGCTGAGCGCCGCGTCGCGCATGTCTTGCTCGCCAGTGCAGTGCCCAGTCTCGTCCAACTCGTCCCAGTTTTTCATGTAAACCCCAATGACATCGAGTCCTTGCCGTTTCAGTAGATAGGCGGCGACTGTCGAGTCAACTCCGCCCGAGACACCGACTGCAACGCGAGGCGGAGGTGCACCAGCGGGCCACGTCGGGTGTGATCGCGGTATTGGCTCCAGATCGCGTGAATCCAGACGCAGCTGGCTCACGCCCTTTGTGTATGTCGCTGACTGCTTAAAGTTGAGCAGGGCAGCATCTGTTTCAGCGCGGGTCTTGGTCTCCAGCCAGCGGCGATGTGCAGTTTGCTCTGCTGCTTCTTGGTCTGCATCCTTCTCGGTCGCACTCGCTGGTAGAGACGTGTCGAATGCAGGAGATGTGCTCAGATACTCGTGAAACTGCGTCGAGTCGATCAGTCTCGGTGCTTGGAACGGTAGCGGTGCGTTTGCCTCAGTAGAGTAGCGTCGATGCCACGGCGTCCTCATCATCATCATCATCGACGCTGCGAATCCGGCTGCGTAGTGCTGTATTGGCAATCTTGCGTCCTGATCTGCATGAGCACTGAGCGTCGGTCGCGATGCAGTGGGTGATCCTCTTGATCTTGGTCCTACTGAGAGTGATGACCACGTCGATTTGCTGGTCGTCGCCGTCGTCGTCGTCCTGATCGGTGCACGCGTCGTCGTTGTGCGCAGGTTGATGCCAGTCACACTGCAAAGTGGACCCGCCAGATCGAAGAGCAGCGACCTTCGCCTTGCCAGCAGCATGTGAACTTGACACTTTGACACCAACGTTTTCAGACTGAGCCCTTTTGAGCTTCTTAATGCAACTCCAGCACAAAGCGCTGCATTTGTAATTCGGTTGCTGTTGGATTTCTGTTTCTAACGTGAAACAAAAAACGGGGGCAACTCAGTCTTAGTAGTTTGGCGTTTTGGAACGGAGCACTGTTCCCAATCGGACATCCGCAGTCACATTCACATTCACATTCACAGTCACAGTCACAGTCACTATCAGTATATATCACAGTAAAATGCTCGCTGCCGACGTCGCCAGTTCGAGCGCCGATGCTGGTGCTACTGCTGGACCTGGCGCTGGTGCTGGTGCTGCTGGAGGACCTCCGCCACCGCCGCCGCCAATGATGCTGCCAGTCAAGTCCGCCGTGACCGCCTTGTCATCGTCATTGTCATTGTCATCGTCATCGTCAGCGAGCTCAAGCAAGAAGCCCGGACTGTCGTTGCGCGATCTCATTGGCGAGAAGCAGCCCGAGATGGAGGCCGAGGCCGACCTGAGCGAGGAGCAGCTCAAGCACAGCCAGCTCGACCTGCCCCGCGTCCAGTGCCCGCGCTGCGAGAAGCTCGTCCTCGCCGTCAACATTGCCGAGCACGCCAACTCGCACTCCTCGGAAGTCGTCCCAGGCCTCTTTCTCGGAGGTAAACGCTATTGGAGCCATTCAGGGGTTTTTGTTTCTGAGAAATACTGACGTCGCGTTCACTTCTGGACATGATTGTCAACACAAACACACACAAAACACAGGGATGCGAAATGCGCACAACAAAATCGAGCTGACCAAACGCACCAATGTGCGGCACATTGTGAACGTCGCCGAGGAGGTCGAGAACGTCTTTGAAGATTGTGCGGTCGGATGCGAGTGCTCGAATGGCGTCGAGCACAATCCGCCAAAAGTGCCGCATGGGGCTCCAGCCGAGGCGCGCCTGTTCATCTACCATAGCTTGAAAATCAAGGATGCTCTCGGCGAGGTAATTGCCCAAATCTACGCTGGAATATTGGATGAACTCACGTTGCTTGGTGTTTCACCCCACTCCCCTCACGCTCTTGTGCAACAACCCGGCATTCTCGATTTGCTTGATGTCTGGGCCTGGCTCATTCTCCTTTTGCTCCTGCTACTCCCTCCGTTTTGCTCACTGTGTGACCCCTTCCCCTTTTCAGGATGCGCTCGGGCTCTTTGATTCCACCTTCCAGCTCATCCATGATGCGATCGAGCGCAAAGAGCCTGTTCTCGTTCACTGTGTGGCAGGCATTTCGCGATCGGCTTCTGTTTGTATTGCGTACTTGATGCGTTCGCGCAAGTGGTCGCTCAAGCTGGCCTTCCAGCACGTCCGAAGCGCTCGGTCCATCATCTCCCCGATCAACTGGTTCATCCTTCAGCTCCAAACATACGAGCAACGCCTCGCACAGACCATGGAGCTAGAAGGTTTCCACGGCCAACCTTCGCTCACTGTCGCGGACGTCTATCCCGAGGGCACTCGCTTCATTTCGACGCATATCGTTCCTCCCGCGCCAATACCATTCTCCATCCCTGCAGCGGCCAAGCAGCCAGAGATTGTGTTTGACTCAGAGGCGAAGCGCACCGACTCTTTTTGATCGTGTTTGTTTGCGAGGCTGTTGTTGTTGTTTTCAGTTGTGTTGCGGTGCTGATTTGCCTTCCAGACAAGGAAGCAACCAAATACATGCGAATGTCGGGGCTCGTTCTCTTCCCATTCCATGAGTCAATCCAACGAGATGAGAGAGAGAGAGAGAGAGAGAGGAGAGGAGCTCAGTCTCAATTTCTGTTGCTGTGCAGGACGGGAGATGGCAACGGAAGCCGAGGAAGCCGCGTTCAAGCAGTGGCTCGAGAGTGAACTCCGCTCCACCCTCAAGATCGACGATGCCGTCATGTTCGAGTACCTGGTTGGCATCATTGCACTCGAGTCGAGCGACGATGAGCGACGCGAGGCTGTCGAGAGCTTCATCTCAGAACTCACAGTAAGCAAGCCAAAGCCAAGCGGTGCACGCACTCACAGATCAGCCTGTGGTGATTGTCTGATCGCAGACGCACTCTTTCGTGGTGTATCACGATGTCTCGTCTGAGGATGATCGCGGTGGAGATGGTCCCTCTGCTTGCTTCCAATGGTGATCCTGACACGCATGTGCCTCTCACCTCCCTCCCCTGTCTCCACTTGCTCAATAGGATGTGCCCGTCGATGCGTTTCTAGATCAAGTGGTATCACGCTGGCGTGCCATTGTCATCAGCCAGCAAGCAGCAGAGAAGGATCGACAGGCACTCGGTAAACTAATCAGTTTTGTTGTTGTTGCACAATACTTGAAACAAATTTCCGTGGGGTGGCTGACTATAGACGTTTGGGTGTTGTGGATAGAACGCAAAAAAGCACAAGAGAAGGTCGATGCTATTTCGCGGGAACAGACCGCGGCGATCGCTGCAGAGTGAGGCTTTCGTTTGTTTGTTCGATGCTAAACCCAATTCAGAGATTGTGTTGCTCACACGGAATGGGCATATGTTTCAGAATGGCCGCATCACGCAAAGAGATCTCGCCTGAGGAGCGGAAGCGTCGAGACGCCATTCTAGAACAATACGCCTACGATCACGGCTCTGATGAAGAAGGTATGGGTTAGCTGTGTGACCAAGTGAGGCCATCGATGTGTTCACTCACTTCCGATCAACTAATCCTGTTGCTGTTGCTACAGACTATGTTCCTGAGGATGGCGAAACTGATGGTACGAGCTTTGTGTTGTTGTTCTGCTGCGTTTGTTGATTGGGAGTGTTGGTTCTAATCTTGCTTGCTCTGCTGCGTGCATGATCTCAGACATTCCTGGAATTGCCGCCAACAACAATCAAGCCATGGTGGCAGACTATCACTTGCAGCAGCGCATGCAGGCAAAGGCCGAGCACGAACAAAAGGTTGCTCGCGACAAGGCCCAGCAAGACCGCGAAAAAGCCGAGCGCGAGAAGGTCAAGCAGCGAACACAAAAGCAGGAGCGTCGAAGAATGTAAAGAGGGGATCGAAGGGTGATCTTCAGACGATGATGCTGATGGCTCGAGAATAAAAGAGCTTTCCGAGTTGATTCATGCCGAGTGAAGTTTTCGTATTTTTATTGAATGCTTTTGCTCCACGAATGCCAACAGTCACTCGCTTTGTGCAATATGGCAGCGACATTCAGAGGCAATAACAACACCGTTTCTCCGTCTCAGGAAATGGAGCAAATCAGAATGCTATTGCCGGGGTAGAACTTGTGTTGGCACCTGTTTGCAGCAGATCGGAGTTGATTTCGCAGCCAAAAAGTGAGAGATAACGAGTTGATAATGAACAATGGTATGATTTCTGAATAAGAGGGTGATTCGAGTCTTGTGACAAATCTCAGATTCTGAGGCTTTTTTTTTTTGAGTGAATTCAGAATGAAAACCATAACACTGAATGGATGAATGAAGTCGGACTGCACGACTGCACTTGTTGCTTTTCCACGCGCAATCACTCGTCGTTCGTATTTCACTGCCCTTCATCAGAACAGGAAATAGAGAGAGAGAGGGAGGGTTGACGACGACTGACTTGGAAGGCCGAGAATTGAACGAAAGCAGGATTGTAGACAAGCACCCTGACCCCCCCGCTTCGAGTCTACCACCGCCACCACTGCCCACAACCTCGCTCTGGCAAACTGACGAGCGAGCAAAGATGCGGCCTGGACTCGAGGCCGTGGGCTGATTACGCCGGATCTCTCTCTTCCGGGACCGCAAGGGGTGACCCAACGAATCCATTGCATTGCCAAAGTTGGTTTTGTATGTACCATTTGCAATGCACTTGGCCGCGTCGGAAGCCAATGATCCGACGCTTGCCCTTGAACTCGGCAACATGGTCCTTCACTGCAGTCACGTTCGCGTGGCAGCTGGGGCACTCGATAATCACTTGTGTGTCGCTCATTGAAAAATGCGAGGAAAAGACTGAGATTGAATCGTCATGTACGAATTTGAATATTAGGCAAATACGGTACACACGATGATTGTGCATAGATATGAGAGGAATGAAGTAGCATAGAAATCAAGGAGCGACGAGCGAGGGCACCGTGGCTGCCGAAATGAACTCGACATCGGCAACGTCGTACACGGGCTCGGGTGCCGAGCTCCATTGCGCTTCAGGTAGTGCCTGTAGGGCAGATACGTTGAATTTCACAACACTGGTATCGTTAAAGACGTCATTTCGCACCCGGAACGACGGCAAAGGGGTTTCACGCACGGCGGGAAGCACCTGCAGCAAAATTGGAACAAGCGTGTCGGTCGCTGGCAGGTCGCATTCACATGCAAACGCAGCTGACGCGTGAACTTTACCTGCGCAATGTATGGAAGAGCGGTTTGGAACGACGCGTTCGACATGCTGCACAAAACACATTCACCGTGAGTTTTTTTTCCACCTCCTTTGCCACACCCCCCCACACACACATGCGCATATAGCCCAACCGTTCAGCATATCGGGATAGCGGATTGCCGAGAATGAGAACGCGGGCAAGCGCGGCAGGAGACCAGTTGGCCCAGAGCAAATTATTGTACAACCGGCCTCCGCAGTGAGGCATGTAGAACAAGGTGGGCACCGATGCTTTTCGTTTTGCCTCCTGCAGCGACCACATTGGCCAACCATGGAACGGACAAAAGCGGCGTCAGTCAGCCGCTCTCTCGTAAAGTACGCTGAAACGCGCAAAGAATCGCTCACCTCGTTCTCTGAAATGATGGCTCCACCGAGCTGTTGCACAGCTGCAATATCCTGTACCGTGAATACTGGGTCAAATACATGCACTTGGCCAGGGATCTGCAGTGTGTTCGACGACACAGGTGAGATTTGGCTTTGAGATTCAACACTTTTGTGCAATCTGAAGCTCAAAACCAACCTTCAGATGCTCTTGAAGTGCTAGGCAGAGCGCAAACTGATAGCGAGCCAGCACGCTATCGCTCAGACTACCTATACCATAGCACACAATCTCGCGGATCGTTCCTTGCGCGTCCTGTGGAAAGCAATCTGATCCGAAAACGAATGGTACTTTAGCCTCGATTCTAGCAAGTCCATCAGCCACCGCAACCCCCTTCGCTGAACTAAAAACCAACCCTACGTACCTCGCTGTATTTCTTCGAGAAAGTCAGACTGCTCGAGTTGTTTCCTGAGTGCCAGCAAGTAGTGAATGTGAGTCTGATTGTTCCAATGGGGGTCTGCTTACTGTACCAAAACTCCACTTCATCCTCCGTAGCACATGCAATCTCGTATTCCATGTACTTGTGTGCTACGCATGGCAATAGTGACAATGTGATCTGACTCGTACCTGGCTTCAATGACACGCGCGACCACGAGGCTCGATGGCGGTGATTCTGAGCCCGACCCACCCGCGCCACTGCCCGAGACACTTGGCGATGCCTGTTGTGCCCGTGCTGGTCCTGCGGCGCCGGGGCTCGAGTGGGAGTGGGTGCCGGGATTGGCTGGTTGCGCTCGAGCCGTTCGTCGCTTGCCACTCGCCAGCGTGAATCCGTCCGCCTGCATGATGTCGACATGCCTGAGAGGTGATGACGGTGATGGCGATGACGGTGGGTTGTTGTTGGCCATGATTGCTCGGCCCGGGAGAAGAGTGAGCTGGAGCTGTTTTTGGCGGGAAACAGATTTCTGAGCCAATCGGACAAACAAATGTACGACAAACAGGATCAAAATAACAATGCCTGCGTATTGTAGACAAAGTTTGTCTGAGAGAGCGACCAGACAAGAAGAGCCAAAATCCAATTCGACGATCAATGATGAACAGTAACGCTCGTTGGGTTGGCCAACTCACTTTGAGGCAACGCACTGCTCCTTCTGTCATGGTCCACTCCTTATATTCATCTCAGTGTCAGTCTCAAGTCAGTCAGCTCGTTCCATTTTGCCAGATTTCCCGCCTTTTTTTTTTTTTGGCCCTTTGCACCATGGCTGGTCGCTATCGTCCTCCCGACGACCGTTATGACGACAGTGACGATGATAATAGCAACAGCAGCAGCAGTATTGGTGGTGGTGGTGCTGATGATGGTCATCGTCGGGATGCTCGTTCCCGCGCTGGACTCGCTGCGATCGCGCGCGCCAATCTCGCTTCAGCCAAGTCGCAGTCAAACCCCAAGCAAGCTGCTGCATCTGCTGCTGTTGCCGCCTCTCGATTAACATTGGCCAAGTCCAAGCAATGGACCGTTCAAGACGACGACGACGACGACGACGATGCTGCTCAAAGCCAAAGCGAGACTGCTGCTGCTGCTGCTACTGCTGCCACTGGTCGCCGCAGCACAAGCATACCAAGTGGAGCAAGCCAAACAAGCCTCAACGAGGACCCTGGCTTGTCCTCGCCGGCGGCGTCGTCGTCGTCGCTGTCGTCGTCGTTCAGCTCGAGTCGGAGCAGCGGCGCAAGTGCAAGCAAGCGAAGCCTTCGTCTTGCGCGGGACAATCCGCCAGCCCAAGAAGCAGACACAAGCATCTTAATGACGAACACCATGACGGAAATGCAAGGATATCACAGCGAAGGAGACCGAGGCACTGCCGATGTTGCCAATTCGCCGCGCTCGACTCCCGCCAATTCATTCTCCTTGCGTTTGGACGACGATTTGCGCCAAAACGCTGCGCACTCGGGCCTCCTCACTGAAAACCCCGTGTCAGTGGATCGATTTGGTGCTAATGACAATGCCGACGAGTTGCGGGTTCCTGGGAATCGTCCACTCCCGCGCCAGTTCAGAGTTCAACCAGACAGCGAGGAGGCCGATGATGATGAGCTGCCAACGGTACTGTTTGTCAAGCAGGCTCAACAACCCGCTGCCACAAGCACACCACCACGACCAGAGTCCCTTGTATCTCGGCGCACCGCCGTCTATTCAGCCAACACCCAATCTTCCGAAAGCGACAAGCCGTCTCGCGTGTCTGGTCCTCTTGACGCGTATTTTGCCAAGTCGAGCTCTCGCCCGTCATTCAATCCTCCATCCCCACCGGCAGCTGCATCAATGGCCGGTGGGGCTGCTCACGCTCCCGAAGACTTGGGCGTGCCCTGCGAGTTTCCTGATCTTCCTCAGCTTCGTCGGCCAATTCCGCCTTCAATCCCCGTGTGGAGGGTCCCTTCCCAGTCTCAGTTGATTTCAAGTCTGTGGTCTGCACTGTGGCACCATATTCGAGTCTCGGCGCTGAACGAACAGCTGGGTGCATCGAGTGTGGTGGACTTTACTGCAGCCTTGTCGCCACTCCGAAGCTCTGCAAAGCCCTCGCCTGTCAAACCAAGCTCGTCTGTGGTGTTTCATCCGTCCTTTGACCAACGAACGACGAATCTTACCTCGCTTCATGATGGTACGAATGGTGCAAACACAACGTCCAGCGGAACTTCGGAAACTCTTACACTCGCTGCCGCAACACCGAGCCCGGCAAAGTTGCCCTCGCCGTCACCCCCTCGTTCAAAACGGCCGCTCGAGACTGGCTCTACTTCTCCAGATTCAGACAGCGACGCTGGTCAGGATGAGGCAACGCGCGTCACGCAACTTTCCATTCCTGCTGTGAGCCGACCGGCCAAGCGTGCCCGAGCCATCGTCTCCGATGACGAGGACTACCCTGTGTATCGGCCAGCGAATCAGGTTTGTACATCGTTCGTGTATTGCGCTTCAAAGCCAAATGGCTCAAAAGGTCGATTACGATGAAAGCTCATTTTTCTCTTGGTTGTGCATTCTTGCAGATATTGGACAAGACCTGCTCGGCTTGCCAAGTTTGCGTACCTCTGGCAGAGTATGATGCACACGAGGCTGCCTGCACCCGAGCCATTGAGGCATCCCGGAGCACACATCGCTCGCCAGCCGACTCTGCCGAGTGTCCGTTCTGCAATCGCAGAATTGCACTCGCTCGTCTCGACAAGCACACGGAAAAGTGTCAGGCTGTTCCATTCCAGGACGACGACGACACTGAAGCTCCTGCTCAGTCCTCCGTCAGTCCACCATTGGTCATGTCGCCAGAAGTGAGCGAGATTGCCTGTCCGATTTGCAGCCATTCGTTTCCTGCAAATCTCATCGAGGCTCATGCGAGTGCCTGTGTCGGAGACGCGGATGTTGATGCATCTCTCATTGCTGATTCGTATTCATCGGCACCAGCTCCGAGACTCGACGCTGAAGATGCCAGCAGCTCCGCCGCGAGGCATTCTCGTTCCCGAGAAAGCCACGCTTCAGAGGCATCTTCTGGATTCCAACACCACCCCTTGTCCAAACGCGCTGCACCTTTACATTCCTCAGCCAAGCCAGTTGTTATGGAAATTTTGTCCGATAACGATGACAACGAGAGCGACAACCAACGAAAGTTCTCATCTGCGCGCGGCGGCATGAGGGACTCGACCGATTCCGCTCACACGTCAAAACAACCAAGAAGTGCCTCGAACACGTTTGCGCGTGATGATTTTGGCAAGCGATCGTCCAGCCGCGGCAGCAACCGTTTTGCGAATGACATTCACGCAGACGAGGAAGACCAGCCCGGCAGCGCAGCAGACATGTTTGCGGGTGACAGCATGATGGCGGGTGCTGCGGATGATGTCGACGACCTTGAGGAATTCGACGATGACGACGAGGAGGAGGATGAGGATGAGGATGAGGACGACGATGTTGATCTGAATGATGACGACTCGGACGAAGGTGGTCGCAGCAGTCCTTTGGCCAACTTCCAGCCACTCGGCTCGGCCTCATCCGGATTTGATTATCGCGCACAATTCCTTCCCAAAGCCGCTCGTGGCACGAAAACCAAACGCTCTCGTGCATCCATCGACAGCGCTGCAGGATCATCTGAATCGTCCAGCGCATCCAGGCGTTCGTTCTCAGGGCGCAGGGGCAGACGTGGACGCGGGTCTCGTCGTGCCAAAGGATCTGGTGGGAACCAGACACGCAAGTCGAGCGCTGGCAAGTCGAGCGCTGGCAAGTCCAGCTCTGGCAAGTCCAGCTCTGGCAAGTCGCAGTCGACCACTGCTAGATCAATTTCCGTCATTACTGCGGCCCCTATGCCTCATTCCACCATGCACCCTTTTGCATCAACCATTCCTAGCGTGTCGAATCCACCCAAGAAGCGCACAGCGCCCAAAGATTTCATGTGAGAGGGATTCGTATTGTTTGATTGCTGACTGCCTTTTTTCATTGCACTCATTTTTGCAGTTGTACCTTCCCCTAGAACGACCGGCACCAACTATTACGCAGGCGATGCAATGCCAATGTCGGATTTCTCTGAATCGGGAAGTCGTTTCAGTGACTGGTCCGAGACACGGCATGGCAAGCGACTCTAGCAGAACAAGCCGGCCGTTCACGATGGCAATCGGCTGTCGCTGGTCGGTAGCCTGATGCATGTATTTATTGAGCACAGCCCCTTTTCTAGGCACCAAGCAGAACCGTCTCGTTTCTCGTTTTGGTGAAGCCGAAAAAGCAAGCAGCGCTTTATTTTTTGTTGTACCAAAATCATTGTATCAACAGTAAAACCACTAACAAACTACATTCTCATGGATCATCCATACCAGTCGAAGTATTGTCAGTCATTCCTCTTTATTCAATGCCGCTCTTGTCGCTCGCGTTAACCTGTAACTTTGATCCGCAATTTCAATCTCGCAGCACTTGTTTTTGCCCTCGCCGCGCTCACTTTGCAAACCCGATTTCCTACTTGTATTGCCCCCCTGATGTCTTGATTCTGTAAATCTCAAAGTGCAACAGCAGCCGCCGCTGTACATCCAGCTGTACCAGGCTGCGGTGGCCGGGTCACCAGAATCCTATCATGCATCGGCACCGTCCAGCCGCGTCGCCACGTCGAGCGCTCTCGTCTCAAGCGATGCTGTTCACTGCATCTTGTCACGCTCAGGACTGCCGCGGACTGTGCTCGCCGATGTGAGTGTGGTCGTTTGAGGTCGAATTGTTGCTCAGCATTCAATCTCGCAGCACCCAAAGCCACTTGGCTCCATTGTCCCGACCCAATTCAAAACATCCATGCATTGGATTGGCTTGTATTGTGGTTTCAACTCAACTTGCTCGTCTCCCATTCGGGACGACTGTTGCTGGTTTCGCAGGTCTGGAACGTCGTGGACGAAGCCCAAAATGGATGCCTGGCACGCGATGGATTGTTCGCAGCACTCGCTCTCGTTGCATTGGTCCAGCGAGGCTATCCTGTTAGCGAAGCAGAGCTCGCCAAACTAAGAGGTAGGGGTTTGGACTGAATGCTTTGGACTGATCGCTGGAGTGACTTGGATTTTTTTTTTTTTGGGAACATTGACTTTGATTTTTGCCAGAGCTCCCGATTCCGCAGCTCCGAGATGTCAACGACTTGTTCCTCGAGTTGCAGTCTCTGCGACGCCAGGCAGAATGGAACACCAGCGGCATCACGAGCTTTTCCATCTTGCCAGAATGGATTGCCGAGACTGCTCTTGACGAAGTGTTTCCATTCGATTCTTCGCCGTCTGCAAGCGGGCCGGGTGCGGCTGGGTCCAACCCCAGCGACGCCGTTTCGGATGCCGGTCAAGGGGGCAGCACTCCAAAACGCCCTCCACGCAGCAAGTCGACGAGCGGCGGAATGGCGGCTTCATCTTCACCGACTGCCTCGAAAGAATCGCTTCCCTCCGCGGCAGCAACCTCCATTCCATCTCCTACAACAAGCATATCGACGACGCCCGGAGATCAAACGCAGCGCATTCATCGGGCGCGCGAGGTGGCCCGTCGATACAACAGCAGCTTTAGCCACATTCTGCAGTGGGAATCGATCGAGCTCGCATTAGTTCGCGAGAAATCCGGTCTGATCTTCAAACATAACACGTACACGGTCATTTCCAAGTCCCGTGGCCTGAAAGTCATTCGGCGATACACTGATTTCGAGGCTCTCGACGATTACTTGGTTCGGAGGTATCCTTTCCGCATACTGCCGCAGCTCCCGAAGAAGGGCAAGATAGGAGGTGAGAGACTCCTCTTACTTTTTTTTGTTTGTGTCCTTGTTTGGTGGAGCAACAACAACAACAACAACAACTCATTTGTTTTTCTGGTCATGCAGAGCACGACGATCGATTTTTGGAATCCCGTCAAATTTCCCTCAGACGGCTGCTGAACTTTGTGGGCCGGCATCCCGTGCTAAAAGATGACGATGCTTTGCAGTTTTTCCTTTCCGACACCTCTCCTGTAACTGCAGTGATTGAGATGCACGAGATTGCGACGTTTTGTTTTTGTTGCTGCTAACTTTCGTGCTGTGCAGGATTTTTTGGCAAAGTTCAAGCTCTTTTTCAAGGATGTCAAAGAAGAACCGGCAATTATTCTTCCAGAGGGACCCAGTCTGACGCCCGAGCAGATTGTTGATCTTGGAGAGAAGGTTTGTGTTTCTTCAATCTTGCATCGTGTCCCTTCCCCCCCCCAATCAACAGCACCACCGAGTGATCTCACCACCAATTCTTGGATCAAACTCTCCTTTGCTCATGTAGACACGAAGACTGTATGATGGGTTTGAGTTGCTTGTGCAAGTCTGCGACAGAATGATTTTGCGGTCGCGAGGTATGCGACTCGTTCCATTGATTGGTTTTGGCACCATTTATGTCATGCCGCTTAACTGACTTGCTGCTTTATGCGCTGGAACTCCTTCTTGTAGAATTGGAGGCAGATATGCACCGACTTGCAGCCGAGTTCGGGTACGTATTTTCGCGCCTTGCTTCTTCTCACTCAAATGCGTTTCATTTGACTCAATGCCGGATATGCATGCGGCCTTTTGGTGTTTGCACAACAACAACAGTGAATCACCTCTCACCCATACTTGGGATCCTGCATGTGCGCATTGCGAGCTGCTTGCGAAATCATTCGTGCAGCTTGGCCAATCCTTCGGACGCGTCGCCCAAACAGCTGCTTCTAAAGTACGTCCTTTGCTTTTGGGCACATGGTCGTTCGTGACGTTTCATTGACTTCTCCCCTTGCGCCACTGCAGGCCGACATCGAAGAGGAATCCGTGTCTGATCACCTGAACTACATGCTCGACGTCATTTCCAGCTTTAAGGTTTGGAGTATATCGTTTTTTTGTGTCCATCCAATCTTTCATCTCGTGAAATCGACCAACAACTCACTGAACGAGCAAATCGAACAGGATCTGTATCATCGAGTTACAGACAGGGCCGGGAAAGGCAGTCAAGATCAACATCTTGTGCGCGCGTCTTCCTTTTTGAAGAACAGTATGCGCACGCTCAAGGGTGCCGTCTCCAAGAAGGACGATGGGCTGGAGGTTTGGCCGCGATGTTTTTTTTTTTCGTTTGTTTGTTTGTTTGCTTGTTTGTAGAATGCTTCATTCCTTCGTTACTGACCGTACACTTGCCCTGCCTCACAGACTCTCGCTCCCACTGCTTCGAATCCACACACGTCCTTGGCCGCAAGTGGTGACATTGATGCCGGAGTTAGCATTTTCGGAAAAGACCCTCGATCAGTGTTTGCGCGGCAGTGTGTCGCGCTGGAGGCACGGCTATTGCATATCTATCTCGCACATGTGCCTCAAGCAATTCAGTTACTAGCATCGTCCCAGGTGGTTGGAAATCAAGAGGTACAGTGCGCTGTGAATTTGTTTGCGTTTTTTTGGTTTTTTTTTTCGTTTTTTGTAGAAAATTCGGCAAAGTCGCTGACTCACATGCTTGCCGTTGGTTTTGTCGTTTCAGCTGAGCGCGTCTTGGACCACCATTCGCACAATCGCTGACGGTCTTCTTGATTCATAAATAAACAAAGGATGACAGTGGTGAGACCGATTCGCTTTGGGAAATGGTTTTATTCGACAATGCCAAAGCGCCTCTTTGCGTGAGAGTGCAATCACGTAACAAAATGCTGAACACGCTGAGTGATCGCGGCGCGGCATACCGGGCACGCATTGCCGTTTCGCAGAATTTTAGTGTCACAGTCGGTGCAAACCACATGATGCCGACACGAGCCGTAGGTGACGTTCCTTGGCTGATCGTTGCACGCGATACACATGATTTCACCTTCCAGCATGACTTGCTGGTCTTCTAAACGCCTGACTTGGTGTTGATGTTGTTGCATCGCCACTTCAAACTCGTGTTGTTGTCGTTGCGTCTCAAGCGCAAAGCGCTGTTGCTCTAAAGCGAGCTGGTTTCGAACTGCCTCCATCTACAGAAAGCAGAAACAAAAAAAGAAAACGCATGAATGAAGAAACGAGAGGTGAGAAAAGGCAATGAAAGACATCCGCAAGTCAAGAAGAAAACAGCAACAAACGCACCTCTTCGTGAAGACGAGCGATGGCAGACTCAGATGACTCAAGCTTGGCAGCCATGTCGGCCTGGGTGCTCATGAGCTTGACGTTGTGGTCGACAAGGGCGTCGTTGTGGGCCTCCAGGAAGCGCACGTTAGCGGCGGGGTCCAGGGGCTTGTTGACAACGTGGGGAGAGGGAGCAGGAGCGTCGGCGGTGTCCGCCGATTCGCGATCGTGCGCAAACACGTCCTTGAACGCTACGACGAGTTGGCACAGAAATGTCAAGCCAGCAACAAAAGCAAAAGGTCTGGTGGTGAGGGACGAGGAACTTGAACGCCAACCGTCCATTTTTGGATTGAACCGGATCCAACTCCCAAGCCAACTTCCCCCAACAACCAAAAGAATACCACCCATACCTAGACAAACAGCAAGGCCGACAGCGCCGAGGGTGGCTGCCAGCGAGCCGGCGGAGTTGCCGAACGCGCGGCGGACCATCTCGCCAAACTGGAACGCGCCATTGATGGGCATGGCGACGGCGACCGGCTCAGAGTGCTCGCCGTGGAGGCGTCGGTAGGCCGCTGAGCGGGATGCCTGGGACGCAGACGAGTGGAAGAGCCGCGCATGGTGATGGCTGCCGAGCTCAATCACGGCGGGGTGGACGAGCGGGGACGGGCCGTGCGCCGCCTGGATGGAGACGCTGTTGTTGCCCGAGCGCGTCGCTGCGTACGCCGGCGACACGGGGATGTTGGCGTACGGCAGCACAGCAGCACCCGCGCCCGTGGTCTTGGTCGTCGCGTCGAAGGTCGGCGGGATTTGCAGGGCGGCCCTGGTGGTTGTCGTTGTTGTCGCGTAGGTTCGCGTGGTCGTCGACTGCGACGCCGTCTTGGCGCCAGGGCCCGCGAGCGCTGCACAAAAAACACATAAACAATTTTAATTGTCAAAGGTCAAAAGGTCAGAGCATGTGTGGTGAAGCCATCTTTCACGTCATAGAACAACGCTCAAAACGCTCGCGTCATCGAAACTTTGATTTATTTCGGATTTTTTTCTTTCTTTTTCTTTTGTTCTTTTTCTTTTGAGGCTCATTCTTGTTCTGTTTCGCTTTGATCATTTTCATGCTTTGTCTGCTTGTCAGGAAATCGTCGTCGTTTTTGCGGCGTGTTCCGTTCGTTGGGACGCGCAGAACAAGAGCAACACAGCAAAAAAGCGAAAAAAGCGAGACGGCAACAAATGTCTTGGCGAACATCCAAACAAACGCTGTTGCCCTCCTTCGCTCCTCTGTCTTCCGGCTTCCGGCTTCTCGTTACATTGCATGATGACATCCTCCGTTGCAGACGGGCGGATTTCCGAGGAAACGACTCACCTCCAATGCGGGAGAGCAGCACGCGAATGCCCTTCGCAGCCACGACGGGTTGTGCTTTGACCATGATGAAAAGACAAAGAAGAACGAAAAAGAAGAAGAAGAAGAAGAAAAAAAAAAAAAAAGATGGAATGAAATCGCATCCAAAAGCAGAATGTTGATCTTCTCTCAATTATTCGCTTTTTTTCGGAGCGATCTTTATTGGATGACAGAGAAAAAAAAACCAAACAAATTTGCAGAATTGTGGAATTGCATGTTCGCAGGAAAAGGCAGGACCAGAAAAACGAAAAAAAAAAAAAAACCGAAGGGCCAAGCTTGTTGGACTGTACTCTCTCAACCGCTGCCCCGACTTGACACACACTATGCATTGCGATGACTTTGCTGTTGTTTGGGGGGGAGGGAGGGCGTTCGAATAGAGTCGCCGAAATCGCGGCAGATGTCGATTTCCGAGAGGCGTTTTTCGGTCTCAATGTAAACTCGGTCGTTCTTCATTCCACTTTTTTTTTTATTCCCTTCTGGTTTGTGCTGTAACCAACTTTATTGATCGAATTCGTTGCGTTGCGTTTGTTTGTTTTGATCTTTAACGTTTGATTGTTTTTTTTTTAACCCGCTCCAGCCATCATTTAACGGCAATTTATTAACAATGCGCCGCGGCTCAATCCCAGCACGCGTCGCCGCCGTGCGTGCCAGCCCCAAGCTGACGATGACAACGCCAACGATGACAAAGATGATGATGATGCACATGATGATGATGATGCTGGTGGCGGTGCTCGTGGTGCTCGCAGGCGTGGGCGGCCAACCCGCTCATGCCAAGCGGATTGCCGGCAGCCCGTACCCGAGCTCGCCGCTTCCCGCCGCGGTCGTCGTGACGATTGACGACGCGTACCTGTCCGTCGCCCAGCGCGTGCTTGTCAACACGCTGCAGGGCCAGCTTGCACGCAACGGCCGACCTGCGCTCTACCGCTTCTCGTCGAACAGCACGCTCGCGGGGACCTCGCAGGACTTTGTGCTGTGGCTGGAGCAGGCCGCGCTCTCGTTCGGCGTTACGCCCGACCACTCGATCGAGCGCAACCTCACCGCCGTGCTCACCCGCTTCCGCTCGTCCATTGCCGGGTTTGTCCTGTACGATGGCGCCAACCCGTCGTTCGGCGACTCGGTCAACGTCGCGCTGTCCGTGTGCGCCGCCGTGCCAGGCGCCATTGCGACCGATCCCACCAACGTGCCGCTCCTGCAATCGCTCGGCCTTGTCCAGCTCTACGACGTCCGCGCTTCGACCGGTCGCAGCTTTGATTGGGCCCTCGACACATTCGGATCCGCCTTCAGCAACACGACCATTACCTTCCAGACCACCGCCATGCCAGACCAGCTCAGCGATTGGACTGTGTTTTCTCAGTCGTTCAGCTATTTCATTACGAGCGATCTGAACGCGTCTGCCACCGCGAAACGCGCCTTCTCTCGGCTCGACCAGTCGCCGCTTGCCGCGCTGTTTGGCTGGGGTGTCAGCGAAAACGGATTGGTCGGGTTTGCCTCGGAGCACCACGCCGTCGTGCATGCTGCGGACTGGGCCATCAACCTGTCCGTCCTGGCCAACCTGAATGTGTCCAGCACGTTTGCGCTCACCCAAAAGACGCATGCGAATGACGTGCCGTCGCCGCCGCCGGCCGTCCACACTGTCTGCTTCTTGATGACGGACGGCGACAACATTCAGTGGCTGCTCACCAGCTTTATGGCCTGGTACAATACCACCGCCAAGGGCAAGACCAACCTTGGATGGACGATTTCTCCAGCGCTCTTCGAGCTCGCTCCTGCCGTCATGCAGTACCTGTACGACACGGCCTCGAACGGCACCACGGCTGGCATGCCCGGCCGCGACTTTTTCGTCGCCGCGCCCTCGGGCCTCGGCTATGGCTATCCCAACAGCCTGCCCAACATGGCCGAGTTCTCGACGCTGACGTCCGACTTTATGGCGGCGACCGATCTGCGGATTGTCAATGTCATCACCACCGACAACGACAACCCGACCAACAACCTCGACAGTCTGATCGCCGAGCCCAACGTCGACGCGGTCTTCCTCTACCCTTACGACAACTATGCCCTGCTCAACGGCTCACTGACCTGGATGAACGGCAAGCCTGTGATTGGCGGACGCTACAACCTGTGGAGCGGCACCTTTGAAACGCCGCAGACGCTCGCAGCCAAGATCAACGCCTTGCCGCGCAACATTCAGTCCGCCGACTCGTACACGCTCATTCCAGTGCACGTCTGGACCAATTCGGTGCAGGATGTTGCCACGTGCGCTTCGTTGCTCCAGGCCGGCGTCGACGTTGTTACTCCCGACGTGTTTGTTCAACGTATTTCCAAGCACGTTGCGCGCACTTGAAGCTGAGTGTGAGGTGTGAGCTGGGATGGAAGCAAGGGAAAACAGCATTCCTGGTTTCTCATTGTGTTCGTTTTTGACTCGATCAATTCGCACGCACAGAACGTCTTGAAGAAATACAAACAGAGAAAAACAAAACAAAAAAAACTCAAGTGTTGATCGAACAACAACAACAACAACAACAACGTTGCACCACACGAAATATCAAAAAGGAGAGATGGGAACAGCAAGGTTAACTTAATTGGTAGACATCATTGTGACATCTGACATGGGGGAGGGAGCAGAGGGTGGCCGAGGATCTGGAACGGGTCGTCGCAGTTTGGATGTCGAGCTGCTGGAGCTGATCGAGTCTCGGCTGGACCGTTTGAGTGGCGCGGTGACACGAGCTGTGGCGGCAACCTGCGCGGCCACAGCCGAATTGGCTTCGTCGCGTCGTGCATCCAGCTGTGGGAAGGCATGAAGGTGAAGGTGGCTTGCACACAGCGGGGGATGTTGGGAGACCAGCACCGGCGTGGTGCAGGCCAATGGCTGCCCGGTCTCTTGTGCCGAGCGAGAATCGGTAAACTGGCATTGGCGAAACAAGACTTGCAACGGATCCTTGAGAATATCTGCAAGGAAGAAATGGAAAAAAACAACATGCGTCAGTTGCCAAGAAGTGAAACGCTTTTCACACCTATCGCATCAAATAAGAGCAACGTGTAAAAACTTACGTGAACTGCAGTACTTTGAAAGCGGCAAAGGTGAGTTCAGACAGCCTCGACCAAGCGGGTTGTCGAAAGCGCAGACAACGGCCATTGGCTGATCTTTCGCGCTCGCGTCAAATTGCTCGCTGATGGCGCGCTTGCTGATGGCAGCGAGAGCGTTGTGCACATCCACTGCCCGACGGTGGCGTTTAATATTGAGCTGATGGGTTGAGACAGTCAGCAACGGCATTGTGCCCTCTCGATCGGAGAGCGACGAAACGACGGATTCCAATAGGCTGTCGGTCATGTACTTTGACGCATTGGGCGGGAGCTGCGCAAGTTGCGTTCCTGCAATTTCTTCAGCCGTACGGGCAAGCGAGCGACACTTGCGCTCCAGCACGTCCGTCAACCGCTGAAATTGTTGCGTGTAGAGCTCGCGCATTCGTTCCATGCACGAGATTCGGTATTCATACAGTTCCTTTTCAGAGAGGATTTCAGCATTTCTGTTCCACAACCACAACGAGAGGTTGAGCGCCTTTAGCATTTTCAAAGACAAAAACACAACTCTGGAAAAAGGACTTGAACAAAAAAGTTCGTACCGGAGAGGATCAATACGTAGGAAATCATCTTGCAAGACCAACGGTTCCAGGGACGAGTCAGGGCCTGGAACAGTAGCCTCCTCGTTCGAGCAAAACCACTCTTCGTCTGGTTCGACCATGTCTTCGTCGCTCGAGTCTTCTGATTCGGAATCGCAACACACACGGATTTTCACGGCAACGTTAGCATGCAAGAGGAATGAGACACAGGAGCAGGCCGAAAAAGCAGGTACGTACCATCGCGACCGGCGTTGAGTGATGATGCTGCGAGCTGCATTGCCTCGTGGGAGGCACCCATGCGTTTGTTGGTAGTCTGCGTAAGATGCTTCACCTGCAGCATCTTTGTGCTCTCTTCAGAAACACCCAGTGCGGACAGCGTCTGCAAAAACCGGACTCGCTTTCGCTGCTGCTGCTGGACTGCTGCCAACTGGCTGTTTGCTGCATTGACCTTGGTCAGCTCGTCCGCAGACAGCTCTTCGACTGGTCGCTTTTTCCGCTGGGCAGCAACCAGAGCAGCAGCCGCAGCAGAAGCAGCAACCGCAGCAGCAGCAACAGCAGCCGAAGAGGCCGCCGCGACGGACTCGGCCGCCGCCGAGGAGGAGGAGGAGGAGGAAGAGGAGGGGTTTGGCTGACGAACAGCACCACCACCGTGCGACATGTTCATGATCTGCACGTGAACATCGCAGCACATCACCTCGGCCGAGGTGGAGACTGGCGTTGGGCAGCGCTTTCCAGTGACGCTCGAGACAAACTGGCACTGTCGCCACGGCGCAGTGGTGTCCTCCAGAATGTGACGAGCGCAGAATCCATACCCAGGAATCCGATCTGCCACGCAGATGCGTCCCGAGAAGGTGCACGGCATGAGGCTCGCCGTGGCAGAGGCGGAGGCCTGAGCAGCTGCCCCGCTCTGAGGCTGCTGCAGGTAGCGCACGTTCGTCCCAACGCGCTTGCGTGTGACTGTTGGTTCTGGAGCAGCAGCAGCAGCAGCAGCAGCAACATCAGCAGCAGCAGTAGCAACAGCGGAAGTGGAGCCTGTCGTTGCTTCCACTTCAAAGAGCAGCCCGTCGATCGCCTCAATCGTCAGGCCAGCGGGCGCGTGCAGCAGCACTGGGCCTGGCACTGGCACGGACGGCGTGTTGGCCGACTCGGCAATGACTGCGGCGAGAGCGCTGTCCGTGCTGTCTGTCGTGCTATCTGCTGCATTATTGACGGCGGCTGCGTGCTCGTCCAGCGGCGGTTGAGCAACAGCGTCGTCCATCCAGATAACAAAATGAAGAATGAGTGAATAATAGTAATAATTATTAGAACAATGATACTAACACCGAATGAACAACGATCGGAAGGCTCAAAAGCCAGAAAGCATTGAGCTTTGAGTTGAGCTTTTCACTGACAATCAGCCAATGCACTTTTTTGCATTCAACGTCTCTTTTGCTACTGTTAATTTACTTGCAGTGCTTGTTTTCGCTCTTTCGCGTTTTACTCTCACATCTCAGCTTCTGAGACGAGCAAATCCAGTCTTTCTTTGTCTTCGGCCTGTAAATCGTTCTCTCTCACACACACTCTCTCTTTCACTCTCTATCTCCGAGTATCTTCTCCATCGTACTCACCCCTCCTTCTCTCTCTCTCTCGCTGATCCCCCTTCCCACCCGCCTTTCATGCACCATTGGCTTTGAAACAACAATGCATGATTTTTTTTTTTTTTTTTTTTTTTTTTTGGCTGGCGTTGCATTGGATTCAGCGATCTCTCAATGCCCTCTCTCTCTCTCGCTGTCACTCGTCCACTCTCCCCTTCTTCCGACTCTGTTCACTCAGAACAACAACAACAACGTCAACAATGCTCCCCCTTTCTTGAACTTGATCCTCGTTTCGCTCACCATTGTTCTTGACTCTGTCAACAGGCTCTCGTTCTCGTTCTTCGTCTTGCTATCCCCCCCCCTTCATAGCCAAAAGGACCACCCTCCAAGCAAAACAAACAACCCCCCAAAAAACTTTCATTCCGCTTGTTGAGGCAATCCGAAACAAACCCCAACATGCTTGCTGCTCTTGCGCTGAGGCCGGCGTCACGGCGATCACTCGTCGCCGCGGCTGCAACCCCGAACACGACGGTGCGCGCGTTCGCGACACGGACTGCCGCACTCGCGTCTGCGCCGACAACGGGTGCATCCAACAAGCCACCGTCATCGTCGGCAGCGGCGGGTGGCGCTCGCTCATTCACAGCCGGAGACAATTCTTCGTCCTCGTCGGGCAGCGGCAGCAGTGGCGCGGGCAGATCTGCCATCCTCATTGCCACCGGCGTGCTCGTCACAGCTGCTGCCGCAGGCCTGGCTCTGACCAGCGTTAGCGAAGACGCCCGCGATGCCGTGCGCAAACACGTCCCGTACGGCGAGCAAATTGTCGGACCCGCTCCCGTCAAGCTCGCTCCAGCTCCTGTCGCCCCACCCAAGCCCATCCAAGGCTACAAGATGCCCGAGATTCGAAAGACGGAGAAGGTGGACAAGGTTGAAAAGGCAGACAGCGTCAAGGCGGAAAAGGCCAAGCCAGAGCAGGCAGACAAGCCTGAGGAGGTAGGTGGTTTTCGATTTTCCGTGCAGACAGCATATCCTCTGAACCGTCAAACCCGGTCATTCTCCAAAAGAAGAGAAGCAGCCCAGTCGAAAAAAAATCCCTGGATCACTCACTCTAGTCACTTTGATGCTTTTTTTTTGTCCTTTTCCGCTTTTGCTGTCACAGAGCAAACCGCCTGTCAAAGCCAGCAGCAAGTCAACCAAAAAGCCCGCAGCTGAAAAGTCAGAGGCGACCGCTGCTGCCGCCGCCGCTGCTGTGAGCCCTGCCACGACTGCCGCAGAGTCTGTGGTTGCAGAGACCAACCCAGCTGCCCCTGCTACTCCAGCAGTGGATGCTGCACCAGCGCCTGCCACAGCGGACGCCGCCACTCCAGACACCACTGCACCTGCAGGCGAAGCAGCACCCGTCGTAGCTGCTGCTTTGGCCGCCATTCCCGCAACCGACTTGCCGGCAGATGTTGTCGCCCCTGGCTCCGCCGCAGCAGAAGCGTCCCTGCACACGCCAACAGACACCTCGTCCCACCCCGTCGGCCACGAGAGCGCTGCTGCGCAGCCAACTGACTTGACCGAGATGCTTCACCGTGTCGAGCAGCTCGAGCGCGTCATTCGGGCGTCTGCCGACAACACGGCTTCTTCTTCGTCTTCTTCTTCTTCTTCTTCTTCGTCTGTGACCGACCTCGACGTGGCCTCTATCGATGGCACAGTGTCTAACGAAGCGATGGCTCGACAACTAGCACACATCCGACAACGTGCCGCCACAGAGCTCGCCGCTGCAGTCCGGGATCACCAGGAAACGCGCAAACACGAACGCGAGCAGTTGCTGGCTACCTTCGCACATGACTTGCAGCATCGACTTGCGACCCAGAAGGATGCGTTGACTGCCAATTTTGCTGCCGAGCTGAAGGCTCGCGAGAAGGACATTTCCGAGGAGTGGGAGTTGCATTCCGCCCTCGCTCTGGGCCGAGAGCGAGCCCAACGACTGGCTGTGCTGCAATCGTTGCTTGTCCGAACGAAAGCTCTCGAGTCTGTGCTCGACACCCAAGCGCATGCCCATTACCAGAGCCAGGAAACCCAAAAGTTCTTCCTCACGACGACGGCCCTGGCGAGCAAGTTGAAGGCGGGACTGCCCGTCCGCACCGAGGTGGAGGCGCTGCGCATTGCGGGTGCTGGCAGTGCGATGGTACAGACTGCCCTCGACAGCATTCCTGAGGCCGTTTTGGACCACGGTCCGCGCACGCTCTCCTTCCTCACTCTCCGACTCGAGAATGTCAAGCGCGCTGTGCGACGTGTTGCCCTCGTGCCAGAAGCCGAGGATGGCGTGATTGCGCATGCCCTGTCCTCGTTCTTTAGCGTCTTTATGCTGGAGCGTAAAGGACTTGTCGCCGGCGATGATCCCGACTCGATCGTTGCCCGCGCCGAGTACTACATCCGCCACGGCGATCTCGACAGCGCCGCACGGCACTTGAATCAGCTCAAAGGCTGGCCGCGCCGTCTGGCCAACGACTGGCTCAAGGAAGCGCGCGCTACTCTTGAAGCCGAGCAAGCAGCCGCGCTTTTGACTTCCTTTGCCAGCCTTGCTGCTCAAGGGCTTGCGTAAAACAGCCAACAATAGTGAAACAGTGTTTTTTTTTTTTTTGGTTCTTGTCCCTGTGACTTTGAAGCGTAGGTTGAATGGTTGTTTGTGGATTTTTTTCTTCTTCTTTTGCTTTGTTGTTGATTTCTTTGTACTTTGTTCTGATCCTCCATTTTGGATTACATGTTTTATGACTTTGTCTTCTACCACCCCTTGGAGGTTGCTGTATCCTTGGTGATTTGGTTTTGGGATCAATACCCATTTTCGCCCTTTTTTTCCGTTTCTTGTTGTGCCTCGCCCTGCAAACCCTTCTTCCCGTTTCTGGTTTGAAACAAAAGCAAGCAAACAAAAGGCACGTTCGCGGCATTTGATTTTTCTCCTTTTTTGATGCGCCTTGTCTTTCATTACTGTATCATTGTTTTTTTTTTTTTTTTTTTTTTTTTTTTGGGGCTGGTAGATCATTTTTCAATATTTCCTTGACATTTTCAACCAGTCTCAGTTTCTGTTGACGAGCTTTCCTCTGTTTTTTTTTTTTTTTTTTTTTTTTTCGAGACCATCATTGTGTTTTATTTTGCAGCAAAGTGCTCATTGCATCCAACTGAAGCCAAAAACCGACGACTGAAGCAGACACACAACAGGGCAGCCCCTCACAAGCGAGTCAGAGCGAGAGAGATTTTCTGAGAAAGAGAAGGCGCGCTCTGGTTTTGGCTCTCTCCTGACTATCAAGCATGTCGCACGTCCACGACCAGCAGCAGCAACATGCTGCAAGCATTGATGGCTGCATCCATGAGGGAAGCACCAGCGGGGGTGGCACTCTGCAGCAGCCAGCGGCGGGACTTGGTCGACGATCGTCCCAGCGACGGCTGCACAAGCAGAAGCAGCACGCCAGCGACGAGGCAGCTGCGCCCGAGCATGCGTCGTATGCGCTGGGTGGCGGTGCTGGTGGTGCTGGTGGTGCTGGTGCTGGGATGCACAGTGGGAGCGAGGTGCTGGACGTAGATCACCAATCAGAGCAGAATGATCTCGGCGGCTTCCCGCCAGCAGCAGCAGCCACCGCGTCAGCCAAGCCACTGCAGATGCAGCAGTCGGCCGTCCTCACCCGACGGCGCTCCAACAACAATGCGCTCCACGCAGCAGCAACCAGCACACCAGGAGCACCCGTCGCAGCAGCAGCAGCAGCAGCAGCAGTGGCTGTGGCAGACGACGCGGCATTCGTCTGCCAATCACCCGCGGCTCACCCCTCGGCCACCGCGTCGACCGAGCCCGCCGCCGCCCGCGCCGGCCTGTCGTCGGTGCCAGTGGACTTGCCTGTGACTGCGGGCGCCGTGGCAGAGTCGTCCGCTGCGGCTGCGCGGTCGCCATTCCAGGCCCAGGCCGGCGCACCAAATATGGTGGGGGACACCCTGTTAATCGGGACGAGCAGCGAGCACGCCGAGCGCGGCCGAGTGGCTGGCACAGGGCGTCCCAGCAGTGCACTCACCGAGCACACGCATCCAGCGGCGGTGGCGGGGACGCACGAGCGGGCGCAGGGCTCGCAGACGGCGACAAGCACTTCAGCAACTGCGCTCAATGACGCAGCACTGCTGCTTGTTCATTCAGACGCTGTTCATGACAGCCAGCTCCCAGAGGTCGTTGGTCAGGGACAAGCACAGGCCGCTCTACCAAAGCAAGGCCCAACCGCTCCTTTGTCGTCCTCTTCGTTATCATCATCATCATCAGCCTTGCGTACTGCTGCTGTTGCTGTTGCTGCTGCTCCCAATGCTGCTGTGTCGGGCTCAGCGAGCAAATCGCCAAACTTGGAAGCAGCTAATCCCGGAGCATCAACTTCATCACTGTCAACAACAACACCAACAACAACAACAGCAAACTCTTCACCGCCATCTGCGGCTTCATCGGCAGCAATGTTGACGGCATTATCGACTGCTATTGCAACCACTCGGCCTTCGCGATCCCCGCCGCCGCTTCCGAGCTCCACCACTACCAACAATACCAACAATAATGCAAGACGGGGCCATGCTCGACAGCCTCCGTCACACACGGCCTCCGTACCAAGCTACGCACCTGGGAGCGGACACGTCACAAGGCCAATCCGCAGCACTAGTGGCAACAGTCTGCTCTCGCCGGCCACGCAGCCGCAGGTGCCGGCCATGCCGCTCTACTGGGGTGCCATGGGCCCGTCGCCGTCGACCAGCCCTAGCTCGAGCGAGCTCCACCATCGCAACCGCGCCACAAGCTCCAACACGAACTGGCCATTGTATGGCGTCGGTGTTGGGCCGCCGATCGGCCGCACCGTCTCGGATGTGACTGTGGCCGTTTCCACAGAGCGCCAGCCGAGCCCCTTCGTTGGTGGTGGCGGCGAGATGCCCTTTGAAGGCGTCATGTCGGACTGTGGCCCGAATGCGTCGTCACCGCTAACCCCGCCAAACTCGAGCTCGTCCTCGTTGTCGTCCACGTCGAGCTTGATCTCACCCCCCACGCACGGCTCTGGCTTGCCCGGTGCCGGTGGTGGCAATGGCGGAGGGAGCGGCAGCAACAGTGGATCGTCGTCTCCCATGATGCGCTCCCCGCGCGCCTCCATCACGTCGCACCTCAGCCTCTGCCCGACAAACTCGACGGGATCCACTGGATCGCTCTCGTCCATGTCCTCGCTGGACAACAACTCATCGGCATCGTCGTTGGTGCGCGTTCTCGGGCGCTTGTTCACCATGTGTGCACAGCTCGTCGATGACCGCGCAATGCAACGCCCGGCGCCCGTGTGTGCTGCTTTACTCGCCACCGCAGCAACAACACCCGCCAGCACTACGTCACTTCTGGCGCTTCCAAACGCCACGCGCGCTGCGTGGATGAACAAGGGCAGCGCACCCATCACTCCAAACTCGACGCTTCCGTCACCATCGTCCTTGGACGTGTCTGTCGGAAATGGTGCGTCCCCAAACTGCGACCCGACCTCGGCTGCGTCATTTTTTGCAGCAACACCAACCAATGTTGCAGATGGAGCCAGGAGCGCCGAGCGTCCGTCCTCGTTCGAGTTGTGCGCTGTGTGCGACCCAGTCCAGAATCCGACCAACTCCCATCCGTCCGCCGTCTGCCTGAGGTACAACATCTTTTCAGGGCTCTCTCCTGACAACACCACGGTGCTCGCCGTTCGTCTTGCCAACTTGATTGCATCGTCGCTGCTTGTTCGCCTCGCGCCAAACTCGCTCGTTGATGCTGCAACGCTCGATGGTATTTCAACTGTTATTTGCGACCAACAGGCACAACGCGCCAAGCGGTTGAGCATGAACTCGCTCGGCGGTAGCATTGCGTCGCTGGAGAATCAAAGCGGCATCACGACCGCTGTGGACTCTACGGGCGGTGCGTTGCGATCACCGCGGCTCTCCGCAGACCAGGCCTTTGGGCCAAACCCACTCTTGCCTCCGCCCCAAAGTTCCGTGTCAGAGCCCGACGTTATTGCAAAACCCGCAACACCGTCGTTCGACGCCGCCAATGATGACAGCGATGACGATGATGGCATTCAAATCGACGACGAGTCAGACGATGATTCTTACGGCGATGGTGTTATTGTTGATGATGATGAGGACGACGCGTAGAGAGCTGCGCCTTTCCAAATTTTTCTTCTGTTAATCCTTTTTGTTGCTTTCCCCCCGATTTCAGGTTGTATTTTGAGTTCACGTTGTTATGATTCAATGTTTAGATGTGATATAGCTTCACCGATTTTTTTTCAAGCCTTCTTCATCCACGTGTAAGCATAGGATCGTGCAAACTGATGAAAAGCTTTATATAAGCGTAGAGGGTTAAAAACCTGAGAGAGTAACAAAAATTCAAACCAAAAATCACCACAGCGAAATACAAACACAAATACAAACAAAAACTTTGGGGGAGCAATCGCAGAAAGGGTGCAGAAAGCAGCTAGAACAAACAAACCTCGAGTTCCACACCTGCAAAGCTACTGTCCGACACACAGACACAATGGCGCAGCTACAATTCCGATTGCTTCAGGGTCACGCGAAGGGGTTTTGACGGAGCCGGCACGGCCAGAGTCGACTCTGGCTGTGGAGCCGCCGTGACAAACACTTCCGCCTCGGTCGACGTGGTGGTTTCGGGCGTACGAGGGAGAATGGAGGTTGTGGAATGCCGCACAGACGAGGAATCAGTGTCGGCAGAATCGGTGGCCGGACTTGAGGCCGATTCGGACAGTCCTGGACTGCTTGCGCTCGGGCCAGCGCCAGAGCCCTTGCTAGCGTGAGAGTTAGAGCTGGCTTCCAACTCACGAGGACGGGAGCCGACACCCGTGCCAGAGATGGACGCACGGAACTCGACTGGTTTGGCTTCAGCCGCTACAGTTGAAGAGGAGTTGTTCTTGGCACCCGTCATCAAAGCAGCCGTCAGCTCGCTGAAATCTGGCATCTCTGCAGGGCCAGCGCTGGGCACCGGTGCACCGTCGGATTTAAACTCGGGCGTGGATTTGCTCCCGCCGCCGTGCTCTTTGCGAGAATGCAGGGGCTTGCGGAGAGCATGGCCGACAGCTGCAAGCGTCTGGCCAACAAACGAAGGTTTGGATTCGGACGACAGCGACGAGCGCGAGCCCGAGAGCGACGACAACTGATCGAGCGACCTTGCAGAGCGGGAGTGCACCATCGACTCGTTTGCTTTTGCAAGCGCCGGTGTCGTCGTGCCGGAAAAGCTACCGCGTTCTGCACCAACCTCTCCGCTGCTGTCTTGGGATTTCGTATCGTGATGTTTTCGCCAAGAAAGTTTGCGCGCAATTTTGTGACCGAGGGAATGTTTCTCAGCACCAGGAATACCGAGAGCACCGTCAGCAGCAGCAGCAGTAGCAGCAGCAGCAGCAGCAGCAGCTGGCGTGGTCAATTCGGCATGCTCGCGTGGGTGCTGCGTGCTAGCAGTGCTCCCGCGACTGCCACTTCGGCTGCGAACCGCCTCGTCTCCGCCCGGCGTTGCGGCGCTGACGCTATGGGCCGACGCACTTCGTCGTGCAGGCACTGGTGAAGGTTGCTGCGAGTCAGGCGATGATCCCGTGGCCAACCGATTGGCCAAGCCGGCCGCGTCGGTGTCCAACGTCGATTCTTCCACCGCCTTGGGAAGCTCGCTGTGCTGTAGCGAGGATTGGCTTCCTATGGCAGAGCGGCTGATCAAGCGTCGAAGCCGCGAAAATGTGTGCGAAGCTGGAGCATGGGCAGGGGCAAGGGCAGGGGCTGGGCCAGGGACCGGGGCGGCAGGCGGCAGATGAGAGGCCAAAACAGCACTCTGCGTCTTGGCCAGTTTGCGATGGTCTCGAGAGGGGAGTGCGGAGGCGCTCTTTGTTGCACCGAGTGGTTTGTGACCTGTGGCTGTGGCTGTGACAGAAGGCGGCTGGGATCGACTCGAGGTGGCTGGATTCGCACTTGCGCTCACGCTCGCCAGACCATTTTCTGGCACCACTTCGGGCAACGGCGAGGAAGACACTGGAGCAGACATGGCAAGTCCCGCCTTGTCCTGTCCACTTTTAAGACGCCGGAATGCATTCAAGAAACGAGAGCGCGAGGATGACTCTGCCAACGGCGCTGCAACGCCAGCAGAATCGGTCTCCCCTGACAAGTCCTCCTCGGGGTGCACTTGAATAACGCTGTGCCGCAGCTTGGTCGGCAGGCTGTTGTTGCGTCGCATACCCTCGACATCCATGCTAAACCGTTGGTGGACGGCCACGCCGGACGGAATTGGGTCCAGCCCGACCATTGAGCTGGTCTTGGAGCTTCCCTTTCGCGACGAGCGGTTGCTGTCATCGCTGCTGCGTCTCGACCCCGACTTGGACGTCAGGCGCTGGACGAGTGCTTCTTCGCGACGGCAGTAGGCAGCGAAATGCTCTGACTTTAAAAACCGCGTGTAGGAATCGTGCTTCATGAGCGAGTACACGGAGCGCTCGGCAGCCTCGAAAAGCGACTCTGGTGCATCATCAAGCGCCGCTTCGATGCCAGCCCGCACGGCACTGGCGATATTGATAACGTGGGCGGACTTGAGCGAGACAAACTCGGTGTAAATCTGACGACCGAGCTCCATTCGCCGTTCCGCAACTTCGGCTCCCTCGAGCAGCTTGTATGTTTGAACCTTGGACCAGAAGAGAATGTTCTCATCGCTGTACTCGCCCTGGAGGAAGAAGACGAGCTCTTGTAGGCCGATGGGATCCGTGAGCAGTCCGTCGAACGACTCTGCCCATTTGGTCGAGCGCTTTTCCGGGCCCGCTCCGGGCGACGATGGGCGAAGGCCAAACAGGCTCGCACGTTGCGCGGACGGCGAGAGCGAGGATGTGCGACTACGCGGCGAGTCGAGCGACGCGGTGCTCGTGTTTTGCGCCCCGGATCCAGACGAAGACGGCGCCGAAGGAATGGTGGCCACGGATCCAGGTCCAAGCCACGGCGTGGTGTGGTCGGCATCGTCCGACGTGATGTCGTCCGCTTCAGCAATCGCAGCTGCCACCGCGGCAGCAACGGTCAGGGACATGTCGGATTTGGATGCTGTTGCCAGCGGTGAGCTGGAAGAAGCAATCTCGTTCACTTGGGTGCGACTGGTGCCTGCCAACGCTCCATTGCTTGCAACAGGTGGCTCGACAACAACGCTGTGAAGGTTGCTCGTGCTTGATCCTGCGCTGCTGCCGTCTGCAACGATGAGCAGATTGTTCGTGCTCCACTGGCTCGGTGTGGTCTTGAGGAGCAAGTCCAGCGTGCTGCTGTTCGCGCTGCTCGCCACGCTGCCCGTCTCGCTGTTTGGATTGGTGCTTGCGCGCAACAACAGCTGCTGCTGCTGCTGCGGACCGAGCTGCAATGCACTCAAGCCAGCATTGGCAGCGTTCGCAGTGCTATTGGCATTGGAAGGCGAGCTGGTAGAATGTTGGAGGCCTGGCACAGTGCGCGTCACGGCTGGGCCAAACACCAACCCCTCGCCAGCCGCCTGGTGGCCCTGTGCGCCCGCTGTGGTCGCAGACACTGGCAGAGACGACGTCGTGAAGCCCGCGGCAGCAGCTGGCCGGCCGAGTAGCAGCGGCTTGCGGTTTGAATCGATTCCTACAACTCCAGTCGCGCTCGCTGGGTCTGCGGCAGCAGCTGGATTCGTGCTGCCACCAGTCGCAATATCAGTAGTGGTAGTCGCAGTAGTAGTCGTAGTAGTACTCGCAGTTGCAGTCGTGTCGGTGTTGGATGAATGCAGGTCATTCCGCTGCTGCTGCTGCTGGTGTGAATTGCGATGGTCGGGCGTCGGCGCTGTCGTTGGTCCGAATGCCTGCTCTGTAGTGCTCGTGCTTGTTGATGCTGCTGACAATGTTGCTGTTGTTGTTGCTGCTGTTGCTGGTGCAGGAGCGACAGCTGACAGCGAGACTCGCGGCGAATCCACTCCACTGCTAATGCTGCGAACCAGGAACTGCAGGTCGGGGTCGTCAAGCAGACTCCCGCCGCCGCTGCCACTGCCGCCGCCACTGCCAGTGTTGCTGCCCACGTCCAACTCTGCGGACGCTGCAACACTGTCGCGAGTCATTGTATGGACAGCTTCGGTTAGGATGGGGATTTTTGAGATTCGACCTTGTTTTCGCTGTCGTTGAAAAACGGAAAAAAAAAAAAAAAAAAAAAAAAAAAAAAAAAAAAAAAAAAAAGGGTTGGAAAAAAACGACTGCTCTCACATAAGAAACGCATTCAACATTGCTGTTCGCGTTATTGTTCGAGTTGGCATGCATCAGAGCGCCAATGGACATGAAACGTGAGCTTCAAATCACGATCATGACAAATCGCAAAAAGAGAGCGAGCTGTTGGAGGATCTGATCAGACAATGATCAAAAACAGAGAGAGGGAAAAATCAAGCAATGTATTGTGGAATGTATGCGAGAAAGGAGCCACCAGCGTGAGACTAGGAAGATAAAGAAAATCAAGAGGACAAAGTATGAGATAGCCGGGTCTCGAAATGACAGAGACGGCTTGAGCAGCAGCGGTCGCAGTCGCATAGAAAAAAGCTGAAAAGAAAAAAAAAAGAAAAAGAAGAAAACTACCCGGTTCCAAGAGCGCTCGCGGACCGAGCCATGAAAGAATTCGGGGTAGAGAGAGCACCAGGGGCGCTGAATACTTCATGGAGCGAGTCGTTCGAAAGCAAGTCGTCAAACCGCGATTTGGTGAGCGGAATCGACATGATGTCGCGGAATAATAAATCGACGTCCATGTCCTGAGGAAGATGGATGAGCAAGTCGGCCACGTCGCCAAATTGCATCTTCAAAAGCTGATCTGAGAGGAATTTCAAAATGCCTGGTGGGAGAAGAAGAAGAAGAGCCGGTAAGCAAAGATGCTAACGCAACAAGCACCACAAAAAAATCCAACGCTCAACGCCTCACCTAAAGCACAGCGGAATAAAAAGTGGTCGCCATGCATCATATACACATCCCAAACGCGCGAGGCGAGGTCTAAAGGAAGAGCCTTGCTATAAATCGTCAGAATCCTGACGCAAGTGGAAGAGTTTGAAGTCAGCCAATTGCAGTCACAAGTGGTCGTCCTCCTGCCACCAAACAAATGCACCCACCCTTACCAATCAATTAAATACATGTCCGGATTGAGGCCGAGTTGATTCAAATGGGCAGCAAGCTGCGGAAGATGCTCTTCCAGCAATACTCGGTAAACATTAAGATATTGATAAATCTGTTGGTCGCGGAAAGTGTCATTGATGAGTGAATGTTGGAAGAGCAGGGAAGAACCAAAACAACAACAACAACAACAACAACAACAACAACAACAACAACAACAACAACAACAACAACAACAACAAAAAAAAAAAAAGACAAGAACAGAAAAAACACTCCAGTGTCTGATTCGCAACCTGCGACATGCACCTTTCGCCACCCCTTCTCCACCGACACACACTCACACAACTAAACAAACACACTCACCACATTCGTGTCCATGCGGTAAAACCCAAGATGAACCGGGCGGTTGAGAAGATTGGCGAGACAGATGAAAGCATCCACCACGTCAACGTTCAGCAGGAGCATGGACGCGAGGAAGGACATGCCCTGAACGTAGCCAACGTCGGGGCGATAGCACACGTAGGCTTCCAACACGCTCCGGAGCGAGTCATAGTATGGACCACCTTTTTGAAAAATGCAGAGATGTGGAAAGGTGCGCGAGACGTCGAGCGAGATCAGGTGCACGCTCTGTTCGCGGCTGAGACTGTTGTGCAAGATGGCGCTGCCCGAGCCGTTGGCGGTGGCTGCAGCAGCGGCGGCAGTGGCATCTTCGTTCACCTCCCAGCCGCCCTCTTCGTCGTTGGTTGCGCGCAGCTTGTTTCTGGCGTGGGTGAGGAAGATGTGGTAGAGATCCGGGGTAATATGCAGATCGTTCCCTGCGGCCAGCAGCCACACCTTTCCACGAACGTTTGGTGGGATGCCGTGCCAGACGAGTTCCTCCACGGCCTTGCGCGACGTGCGCATCTGGTGCTTCCAATTTGGCAGCACTTCGGTCGTCCACCGCGTGATGAGATCGCCCACCTGCTTGTCCTTCTTTTCATTCCTGCGGTTCTCCTGGTCTTCTTTCCGCTTGACGTTGTCGAGAATGACCTCAAACTGGCGTCGCTGCCGGTCTTCCTCAGCCTTGTCCTTGACGGGCAGATTGCCTGGTCGCGGCGCGAGTGTGATTTGCGTTCCGTTCGGCAGAATCGTGACTGGCGAATGACTGTTCCCAGTCGTGTGAGTGTCTCCTGCCGCAGCAGCAGCGCCTGTTGGGCTTGTGGATGGTGAGTCGGTTCGTTTGACGAGGGTGCTGTGCAAAATGTACAGCAAACAGGGTTTGTCGTTGAGGTTAGTGACCAGAAGACGGCTTTACAAATGATGAACAAGAGCGAGTGTGTGACTGTCTGAATAGGAATGGACAAGGGAAAGGCTGGTCGAAGTGGGGGGGGGGGGTATGGTATCAAAACGAGACAAAAGAGGGGCAAAAACAAAAAAAAAAAAAACCAATAAAAAATAAACCGTTAAAACCGAGAGAACTGCTAGGATGGAACTCATGATCGAATCTAGCGAATGGTACTCGACGGTCTCGAGTCGCAGTGAGGACGCTGACCAGCAACCCCTCCTCCCCCCTTCCGACCCACCCACGCCGACCCAACCGCCCCAGCGAGATCGGACTACCTGAATGCGCGCTTGACTTTGCCGAGCTTGGCCTGGACGCTGGCAGGGCTGAGGATGGCGTTGCCGGAGCTACGTCCTTGTGCCGAGTTGTCGTCGCCGTGTCCCGTTGCTGCTGCTGCGCCGTTCGATGCCGAGTCGCTGCTGCCGCTGCTGACGCTGTTGGCGCTGCTCGTGCTGTGCTCGTGCTGGTGCGGCGGTGTTGGCTGCGGCTGGGCGGACGAGCTGTTCGACGCGTTGTTGTTGTGGGTGAACAAGCCGAGCAGCGTCGTGAGCGAGACGGGTCGCCCTCCTGCCTGCGTGCTGCTGCTGCTGGTGGTGGTGGTGGTGGTGGTGCTGTTGCTGGCGGTGCTACTCGTGCTGCTCGTACTGCCGGAGGACGACAGGCCGTTGGACGGTGGCGGCGGCCGCGGACTGGAACTGCTCATCACTCGTTTCAGTCTGTGCGCGGTTTGGAAGAAATGCTGAGCGCGTCTGAGCCGACACGAAATCACACAAAAACACACGACAAAAGACTAAGTTGCTTGGATAAAAAAAAACTGACAGAGTTTGGAGTGTCGTGAAGCGGTGGATTCAAGTACAGTACATCCGAATCACCTCTCGCTTTCCACCCAAATCAACCCCTACAGTACAAAACGAAGAGAAGAGCACAGAACAAAGTATCAAAGGGTTTTCTCTCATTTGTTTCATCAACCACAGTGCAAACATGCAACAATAACACCAAATTCAACCGGTTCCACAACTCCCAAAAGCGACAAAAAGGCAAAACAAGGCCAGACGAGCAATCATGGCGCAGAGACGTTCAGGGCAGCAACTTGGCCGGTGAGCACTTCGACCTCTGCAGTTGCTGATGGCTTGACTGCCGATGCGGGGACAGATTCTTCGGCGGCCTCTTCCTCCTCCTGCTCTTCTTCTTCGGGCTCAGCTTCGGATTCCTCCTCCTCTTCGTCGTCATCGTCGTCGTCGCACGATTGATCGTCCTCATCATCTTCGTCCGGTGCGGTATACTGCACTCCCGAGGCGAGGGCGGCCTTAATCTTCTTAACTCTGTTTTGGGGGACGCAAGAAGAAACAACAACAACAACAACGAAAAAAAAAAAAAAAAAGAATACAACAATAAAACCAGGTCAACACATGTGTCCCATCATGACCATTCAACAATTGGCGTTTGCACTGGGCATGATCACATACCCCTTATTGCTCATCTCGTTTCCGAGCACGTTGATTTGCTTCAGACCAGTCAAAGTCTTGAGCGCCTCAATCAGCTGCTCGGCGTTGGCAGGCTTGAGTTCGTTGTACGACAAATCCAAGTCCTGTCAAGTGAGGAGGGGGGGGGGGAAACACCAATACGACAAATACGACAAGCAAACCTAGTGAGTTGGCAGTCCAAACACGAAAATCCAAAATCAAAACATTGAATCACGCACCTCGAGCAACTCGTGGCCACCGGTCAGAGCCTCAATAAGAGCCTTGCCACCGGCCTTGCGGGCGAGACAGTCGCCAAAGTTGATGCGCTTGAGCGTCTTGAGCGAGGCAATGGCCTTGGCCATGTTCTTGCCGCCCTTCGAGGTGAAGGTGTTGTCGTTCAAGTCAATCACCTGGAGACCAGGGTTTGACACGAACGCCTCGGCCAGCTTGCCAATACCAATGTAGTGGATGCCGTTCTGGGGCATGGCAATCAAGCGCAGCGTCTTCAGCTGGGTGAAGGCGTGGGCGAGCGCGGTCGCGCCCTTGTTCTCGAGGCGGTTGCGACCGGCGACGAACGTGTGCAGGCTACAGAAAGCAACGGCGTATTAGACAAAAGAGATACGATACGTGAGCTGAGCTCGGAGCAAAATGTGCACAGCAAAAGTGTCTGCATGCGTTACCGGACGGGTTGGTCGCTGTTGGCAAGCTCGCAGAGAGCCTTCGCAACAATGGTGCCGCCAATGCTACCGAGGCCATTGTTGTTGACACGAATGACCTCGAGGTTGCGGTTGCCAGCAATGAGCGGCGAAAGGCGCTCTGCTCCAATGGGACCAAAAGCGTTGTCCGAAAAGTTGATTTCACGCAGCTTGGGCATGTTGACGAGCGCTGCACTGAACGCGGTCTGTCAGGTTGTTTTTGTCACGGCATTGAAATGAACAAAGAGTTTTTTTGGTGTTTGTGAGCGGTCGACAATAAAACAAGAGTCAAAAGCACTGAAAATCGTAAAATACAAAACAGACTGAAAAAAAAAAAAAAAAAAAGGATTTTGAAACGGTTTCGTTTTTTTTTTTTTTTTTTTTTTTTTTTTTGGTTTTTGGTTTGTTGATTTCATCGTTTGCGTTGGCGACGCTTTTGCTCGCTTTCAGCTGCATCGCCTTGCATTTCATCACTCCCCCCCTCCATTGCATGAGCACTTGCCTCCCTGTCGACACACTGACTGTGAGCGGGGTACCATGCTTGAAAGAATAAAAAAAGAAAAGAAAAAAAAGAAAGAAAAAACCGTTTGGTTCCGTTATCCGCTCCTCCGCTTTCGTCCTTGCGTTGCGCCTTCGCCACGACGCGGCGCTTCAACAAGATGCAAGGCGTCGCTGGCACTCCCTCGCACGCTTTGGCGGAGCGCCACTGACTCGGTCCTCCTGCAAGTGAGCCGATGGAACTGAATGGAACCTCATGGCGCCCTTTTGCTTTCGAAGGAGACGCCACCACTCGCGAGCGAGCACCACCACACACACATACACCCACACCCAAAACGACCAAGCAAGCACCAACGAGCGAGACAAGAAGGAGGAACAGGAGCAACCTCCTTACAACGGCGTCGCGGATTTCAGAGTGGAGCCGCGACGTGAAAATGTCGCTAAAGTTGACCACTTCGAGCGTCGCAGCGTGCGGGGCAAGGGCACTGCAGATGGCAACGCAGGCCTCGACGCCGAACGTGTTGCCGCTGAGCGTCAGGTGCTGGAGGCCGGGCGTCGCGTTGAGCTGGCTCACAACGACCTCGGCGTCCGCGGCGGTGGTCAGCTTGCGTTGCTGGCCCTCAAAGCTCAGTGTCACAAGTCCAGTCTGGGTCATTGTTCAAAAAAGCAAGAAAGAATAATTATACGAGTGAGGTTGCGGCGTATGTCAAGCAAAAGGGTGGAGAGCATGCATGTATGAAAACGATCCAATGCAAGTGATTGTCGTGTTTCAAAACCCAAACAATAATGTCAAATTCGGAAAGGCTCGAAAAGTGCAGCCAGCCACACGAGGAGCCCCCCCCCCTTCTCCAACAATACGAGTACCTGTACAATCTGGCAGATACTGTATTGCTAGGATCAAGGGAAGAGCTGGACAAGTACGGCTGCATGTTGAATTTCAGGTCAGTTCGTAACAGCTGCTGTTCCAACGGATTGGTAAGCGATAAGCCAAGCGGGCGAATGCCACTGATGAGTGAAACAAAGAGCCATTTGATAGTGTTGGCAGGGAGGAGGCGCGAAGGTGTGTGTGTGTGTGTGTGTGTGTGTGAAAATTAATGACGGAATGATCAAGACAAAACATGATGCATTTCACAGTTGAAGTGAGAAAGCGAAATCGAAGCGCAAGACATCTACACACACACACACACACACACACACACACAAAACTCGAGCATAATCGATGAGGAAGCCAGTCACACACATCTATAGATACAGGTACAATCAAAGAACGAGAACAGAGAAAAACAAAAACCAAACCGCACAAACTAGAGCCGAAACTCTGGTCATTCATCGTCCTGTGTGCTCAAGCATCAGCCAAACAGGCATGACGCTTCACCAAACGGACACTACACACTGCTCGAGCATTAGCGCTCTGCGAATCGTTCCTCGCCTTCGAGGAAGGTCACGATTGCCTTGTGGTCAAATTTGGAAGCGGTGACTTTCGGAGACCAGCCGTTGTTGTCTGTGACGAGCAGCTCGCTGCCAGCCTCAACGAGCTTTCTGCAAACATCGATGTGGCCCTTGGCCGCGGCCAGCATGAGGGGCGTTTGCCCTTGGTTGTTTTTGGCCTGAACCGACGCGCCGTTTTTCGATAGCAAAGTGACAATCTCGCCAAAGCCCGAGTTTGCTGCAAAGTGCAATGGCTGTGATATTGAATGCAGGGATGATTCAGGTGAGCAACGAAGGAGATCGGCAACACACACACAGACGGAGTGGCGAGGTTTGGGGGCCCAAGGAGGTGTGTAATTGAATGTGTGTGTATGTGTGGGATTCTGTTATGGATTGATGTGTATCTGTATTTGGAGTGTGTTCACTCGTCGCTTTGTATAAGTGAAGTCTCTTGTTTCCCTATCATCACTCTCATCATCAACCCATTACTCGTATCTTCGTGGAAGGATCTCTGATCATAACAGATTCCTCGACATTGTCAATCAATGATGTGCACCTTTTGACGATGGCTGCAATGAAAGTGCACTCGGAACAGCGCACCTGCTTTGTGTACAAGTTTGGGCTTTTTGTATGGGTTTTGCATTGACGCGACCCTTTTGTTTGTTTTTTTTTTGGCCTGATTTGTGTTCAGATTGTCTCGAGTTCGATCCAGCACCCAGCCACTTGTCTCACTGTCGTTCCCTTGCCCTCTGTCTTGTTGATGTCGAAGGCGGAGAGAGCGACTCGCCAAAGCAGCTGGTTGCGTTCTGCGCATTCGACACAAGAAGCAAGAAGGCGCTTCGTTCCACACAGCCAGACACAGACAAACCGAGATAGCTCCTTCCAACGCTGCGTACTTGATGAAACAAATACAACACACGCTACGAAGATGGCAGTGCAGAGCTCGACCATAGCGACAGCATTCGGCGCTGCTCTCACGTCAGCAAAAAAAAAAAAAAAAAAAAAAGATAAACAAGTTCGGCGCTTGTTGCCATTGCAAAGGTCCCATGCCAGCCATGTGACTTCAGGTCTGGCACATGGACGAACAACGACGGGAGGTTGGGGGAAGATTGGGGGGGGGGTGAGGAGGCATTTGCGGTGAGCAGCGGCAGAGCAAGCCCTCAACGGCACACACAATCTGGTCGACCTGACACACACTCAGTCGCGCTGGAACTCTCAGACAACGGTTCTTGGCGCTACAACCGAACTGCAGATGCAGAGCGCAATGATGATGATGATGATGTCGAGGAGGAGGAGGAGGAGGAGGAGGGGAGGGGAGTGAAGAGCGTTACCGTCCAGCCGTGGTCGTCAGCAAAAGTCAGCGTCTTCTTCTTGGACGCCAGTTTTGTGATGAGCTTGAGCGCGTCGGCTTCTTTGCCATCTCGCAATGCTTTAAACACTTCCGTCATCGAGTTGGATTGCGTTGGAGGAGGAATGACAGGAGGAGGAGGAGGCAGAGCAATCTTGCGGGTTTTGTGGACTGTGATGCGCACCACCAAATTTGTCAGTGGCTGAGCTGCGGTCACATTCGCCAAGCATACCTGTCATGGATGAGCGGCATCGAGACAAGCTTCAGTGTCTGAGGGATTTCCAACGACGGGGCGGCATATGCTGACTTTATGGAGCAACTGGCGCGTCGCTGCTCGATTCTGAACGGCACGGCGCTTGTCGAGATCAGCTACGTCTCTCACGACACACGCTTCCCCCCTCCGTGGTCTCATCTGGCAAGGCAGTTTTGCCCGCACAGAAAGTTGCAACGTCGCAGTCGTGGGGTCCACGCACCAGACCGACTCCGGTGGTCCCACATCTATCTAGGTCGACCGCCTCGAAGGCCAATCAGTTTGTCACCGGTCGACTTGTGTTTGACTTGTCTATTGTTGCACTGCAAGATCCAGGCGAAACAATCCCTGGCATCTGTCGCACGAGTGGGATGATAAAAAAAAAACCTCGGGGTTTATTGGTTTGTTTGTTTCTGGGTGATTCCGTGTTGGGCGTGGCGTGCCGTCGGGAGCGATGAATTGGGATGCTCAGTTTCACACGAGGTCAACCTGTGATGCCAGTGCCAGTCCAATAACGGATTTGTGATTGTTATGCTTGCTTCATCATCAAAGATGATGCTGTCAATAGCATCATCTTTGAAGTCGTGGCCGATCATTCTTTTTTCGTTTTTTTTTTTTTTTGGTTTCTTTGTTTTTTGTTTTTTTTTGTTTTTTTGGGGTTGTTTCTGTCCCTTTCCCTTCCCCTCCCTCCCAAGGTAAGCCAACACGCACCATCAAACGCAACAAGCAGCAATCTCCTGTCTCTCTCAGTTGTCTCGATTCCCTTGAGGTGCTCGCTGCCGGATGGCGAACTCGGCAGTTTACCACGCGGCCATCAAAAACACAAAAACAACACCTCCTCCTCCTCCTCCTCCTCCTCCTCCGTTGCGACGGCGATGCAATGAGGCCCTTCGAAATCACCAATCACACCAATACACGAGTGCCATCGCTGACGGATGGAGCTGCAGCACAGAAGAGCACACGGGGAGAGGAAAGCACCGAAACTACAGACGCAAAGAGCAAGAAAAAACAAAAACAAAGACAAAACCAAAAAAAAAAAAAAACAAAAAAAACTTTGGCCTCGATCTCGCACTCGTGATCTCTATCTGCTTCCTCCCTCCCCCGCACCGCCGCTCTGATCCTTGGATGCGTTCTATTGCTGCAAAGCGAGTCAAGTAGAAGAAGTTGTGGGTTGAATGGAGCAGTTGTGGGTTGAATGGAGCAGCGGAGCCCTACGACTGCCTTCGAACAACAACAAAAACGGCAACAACGTGGAAGCGCAAAAACAACAAACCAAAAAACAAAAAACAAAAAAATAAAAATAAATAAAAATAAAAAACAAACAAAAAAAAAACAAAAAAAAAAACAAAAAAAACAAAACAAAAAAAAATCATCAAAATCAACCGACCAAACAAAACAACAGTCGAGCAAATCCGTCGCTGCTTGGAAGAACACTCGAAGTCAGCCTTGCTTTGTTGCTTTGCTACTTTTGAATAGGGGGATTGATCGACATCCAAAACAACCCAAGATGCAGAAAGCGAGACAACGCGGTCAAATCAAACAACAATCGAACAACCAAACGAACCGCTTGCGCTTGGCCTTTCGTGAAGCAAAAACCATCCACACACAACTGACTTTCAGCACTGTGACGCTGTGGGCGAGTGCGAGCTCACTCTGTTCATGTCTTTGTTCTATTCGATGTCGCATTCTCCCCCCCCCTACAGATGACGCCGAAGGGTTTTGCCTTTGGTCTCTTCCTGCTGCTCTGCGTGATTTATCACGTCCAACCGACACAAGCAGACGATGCTTGCACCGTGTGCACTTGCTCGGGAACTACTGTCCAATGCGAGGGACGGGGGCTCACGACCATTCCAAGCGGAATCCCGGTCGAAACCACAACCCTGTACGTATTGCCGTTTGAACAAAACTTGAATTGAAGCATTGCCCATGCTGATTGGCATTCGATCGATAGGAGTCTGTACAGCAACCAAATCACGAGCATTCCCGCCAACGCATTCTCAGGTTTGACCGCGCTGGCAACCTTGTAAGCAAACAACGGCAGCAAGCATCACACAAATTGCTCACTTGGTTGCGACTCTATATTGAAGGATGCTGCACGGCAACCAAATCACGAGCATTCCCGCCAACGCATTCTCAGGGTTGACCGCGCTGAATACCTTGTAAGCAAGCAAGGGCCAAGAAAATTCAACACACAAACCCCATCTCACTCGTTTGCGACATACTCTGTAGGCAACTCTTTTCCAACCAGATCACGAGCATTCCCGCCAACGCATTCGCAGACCTGGCTGCGCTGACTAGCTTGTAAGCAAGCAAAACAACAGACATGAATCATCACGCACAAGCGGCTCTCACTCGTTTTTGCAACTCGATCTGTAGAGACCTGTTCGTCAACCAGATCAGCAGCATTCCCGCCAACGCATTCACAGGGCTGAGTGCACTGACTCAATTGTAAGCAAAGGCAAAAAACAACCAAACATGCTGCATCAAATATCAACAGCTGACGCGTGTTTCGCGACTCGATCTGTAGAAGACTGAATACCAACCAGATCACTAGCATTCCCGACAACGTGTTTGCAGACCTGACCTCGCTGAACGGGTTGTAAGCAAGCATCGACGCGCAGAATCACCCTCGAATGGCTCATTCGTTTGCGACTCTATCGGCAGAGGTCTGTCCTCCAACCAGCTCACTGTCATTTCTGCAAACGCATTCAATGGCCTGACTGCGCTGACCTCCCTGTAAGCAAGCAAAGACAAGAATAATCAAAAACAACCTGCTGAACTCGTTGGTGCACTCTGTTTGTAGGATGCTGGGTCTCAACCCGATGACCGTGTTCCCTTCAGCGGCATTTGCCAGCCTGACTGCCCTGGAGAGCTTGTAAGAAAGACGAGATACAGAGCTCCACACGTAAACAGCTCACTCGTTCTCTCTTGCGATTCTACCTGTAGGCAGATGGAAGCAGGCCAGATCGCCAGCATTTCGGCCGACACATTTCCAGACCTGACTGCGCTGACTTCAATGTAAGAAAGCGAAGACTGGAAGTCACCTACAACTGGCTCACTCGTTTGCGACTCTTTTTCTGTAGCAATTTGAGGGACAACCCGATCACTACCATTGCCGCCAATGCATTCACTGGCCTGTCGGCACTGAAAATGATGTAAGCATGCAAAGACATGAAAAATCACACAAAAAGGCTCACTTGGTTGCCACTCTATCTAAAGATATTTGCAGAACAACCTGATCACGAGCATTTCCGCAACCGCGTTCACAGGCCTAACTGCGCTGACTGCGCTGTAAGAAAGCAAAAAAGACAAAAAAGAATCATACACAAACGGCTGCCTCATTTTACGATTGCATGTAGGGATCTGTCCGTCAACCAGATCAACAGCCTCTCTGCAAACACATTCTCAGGCTTGACTGCGTTGCTTTACGTGTAAGCAAGGCATAGTCACGACAATCACACAAACGGCTGACTCGTTTGCGACTTTCTCTACAGCCACCTGGGCGCCAACAGGCTGACCAGCATTCCCGCAGACGCACTCGCAAGGCTTCCTGCGGGGGCAGGAGTGTAAGCAGCAGCAAAAGGCACCGAAGAATTTCGCACATACGACTCATTCGTTTGCGCGCCTATACCTGTAGAGATCTATCCAAAAACCTGATCAGCAGCGTTTCCGCAGACGAATTCGCAGGCCTGACTGCGCTGGGAGGCTTGTAAGCAAGCAAAGACATGAAGCATCACACCGATGGCTCAGTCGTTTGGGGACTCCTTGTAGGGTTCTATCCAGCAACTTGATCACCACCATTCCCGCGGGCGCCTTTGCAAGCATGAATGCGCTGATTCTCTTGTAAGCGAACCAAGACCGGAATCATCACATGTAAATGCCTCACTTGTTTACGACTCCATAGGGCGCTGGACAACAACACGATCACTAGCATTTCCGCGAACGCGTTTACAGGCCTGACTGCGTTGCAGTACTTGTAAGCAAGCCAAAAGCTTGAAGAATTGCACACAAAGCAACAAATGGTGGTTCACTCTTTGGCGATGCTATCTCTAGGTATCTCGGTCTCAACCAGATCACTAGCATTCCAGTAGACGCATTCACAAGCTTGACTGCGTTGCAGTACTTGTAAGCAAGCAAACAGCATGAAAGAGTCGCCCACCTATGGCTCACTCGTTGCAACTTGGTTTGTAGGCGGCTCGATGGCAACCAAATCACCAGTGTTCCCGCCACTGCATTCGCAGACCTGACTGCACTGGTTGGCCTGTAAGAAACGGCTTTCATTGCACGTGTTTGATTCACCTCTCATACACGTGTTTGATTCACCTAAGTTGATCTTGTAGGACCTTGAATGGCAATCTTTTCACCACTTTGCCGCCCGGTCTGTTTCAAGGCTTGCCAAATGGCTTGCGTTTGTCGTTTCATTCATCCTCATGGTCCCTAGCGCTGCAGCCCAACAACTTTACATTTGGTGACAACACTGTCGCTCCGCCCAGCACATACGGCACTGCAGACACGCCATACCGTAAGTTCCGAATATGACTGCCATCCCCGTTCGAGCATTTCACTGACATTTTGTACGGCAGAGTGTGATACAGCTTGCGCCACCTGCTATGACGCTGGGTCCGGTGCGTGCTGCGCAGCGAACTGCCTGACCTGCACTTCATCTGATCCCTGCACTCAGTGCTATGAAGGCTTTGTGATGATGAGTGGAGCATGCATTTCGCTCGCTTCCCTCGCTTCTGCCTCGACTGCATCTGTCGCCTCGGATGTTTCCGCGACCTCGGCACTCTCGGCATCGTTTGCTTCCCTTGCTTCTGCGTCCTCAGTCTCAGTCGCCTCACAAGCATCCGCATCGGCTGCCTCTGCTTCGACCGTGTGGCAGACATCTGCTGCATCCGCTGCATCTGCCGCAGCTGCATCTGCCGCATCTGCTGCGTCCAATGCTGCAAGCGAGTCAAGTGGTGCATCTTCTGGACCTATTATTGGCGGAGTGATTGGTGGCGTGTTTGCCCTCCTCATGCTGGTTGCGCTGTTTGTGGCCCTTCGGCGTCGTCGCTCGTCAAAAGCATTGGCAACCACCAATGTGGCCAGCAAACTTCGCGAATCAGCATCCCGCTCCGAACCGACTTACCAGACTGCCGATCACAGCGACATGGTGTCAAACATTGCGAATCCCGCCTACGAATCCTTGTCTGCAAACCATGCCCTGTACGAAGATGTTAGCTCAACGCCCCAGGCTCCAATGGGTTCTTCGGAACTTGTGTATGCCAATACAACCGTGGATACCTCCAGTGCAACGCACGCGTCAGGCAGCGGTGTCGAGTACGCCGACCCTTCGCTGCCCAATCCCTCGTCTGTTCGCGTGCCTTCCGAGTCTTCGCCGACTACTTACGCGACGATCGATGCTGCACCTTCCACGCAATCTGGGCAGGTCGATTACGCGTAAATCGCCGATTTGAGCGTCGAAAGTTTGCTCGATTTTCTCGTTCGTGATTTTCCCCCTCGTCGTTTTGTGATTTCCTGTTTGCTTTTATGTTTGCTTGTTTGTTTGTGTTTTTTTTTTGGTTCCGGGCGTTTCACTTTGATGTATGCTTGGTCTGATGTTCTATTCGACGAGACTTTTTGTTTTGAAGCAAAGCCATGAAACTGGGAGAGATCGTTTGTGTGAGCAATCTCGATAAAAGGAAGATCATGCCATCCCAGAGCATCTCAGCTGTACTTGTAGTTGACTCGTCTCCGATTGGGGCTGCCAGATCCGTTCGAAGTCGACGAATCAAGGTCGATACAAAGTCAGCACAAAGAGCAAGGTGTTAAGGTGTTGGGGCGTGACATACTCTTGAGATTGGATCGGATTGTTGTTTTGTTTGTTTTTGTGGCTTGCCTCGGTTGTTTCTCTCCTCTTGGGATATGGCTCTTCCTGTGCATGCGTTGAAGTCGAGGGCTTGTGAATCGATCGGCTATCGTTGAAGTGCATAATTGCCGCTCGTGGGCATTGACAAATGAGCAACGCAACTATCGCGGTCAGGCGCGCCTTTTTCCTCGTTTTTTATTTTTTTTTTAATGTTTCTTTTTTTTTTCTCTCCGTTTTCCCTGTCCCAACGCCCCAGCTGTACTTGTGCTTCACTCGTCTCAAATGGCACTGCACGATACCGGTGAAGCAATCAATGCTGTCCATTCGCAAGTGGCTGTCGATGTGCCTGGAGTTGTCATCAAAATGCGGGGGTTTAGGTTTTTTTTTTTTTTTTTTTTTGCCTTTTGCTCTTGTGTGTTTGACTTGTCGAATATTAACGGGAATGAGATGCGGTGCGCAGTTGCACATCGTGTCAACTGGATGGTGCACGCGTGCAGAGTCTCAAGCAGGCCAACAAAGGATGACCAAATCGCAAACTCCATTGCCACGCGATCGGAGTTGGTGGCCAATCCACACTTTTTTTTTTTTTTGTATTTTTCAATTTCATTCCTGCGGTTTGCACTTTCTTCTTCTCAGGTTCCCGAAACGGTTCCTTTTTGTTCAAAATTAACACAAAACACCACCAAAACACACATTTTGCCTTTTATTGAATGTTTGAATGATTGAATGATTGCAGAGAGCGTGAGTGACCACACTCCTTTTTTTTTTTTTTTTTCTTGTTTCTCATTTTCTCTTGCTTTTCCTTTTCTTGCTTTTCTTCTCTCCAAAGTAAGCAAACGCGCACCTTCCAAACCCCCCCCCACCGGAACAATCCCCATCTTGCTTTTGCCTTCCGCATGGCGAACAATGCGCAATAAGCGGGGGTTGTTGGCTGAGTCTGCGAGGATTGCATTCTTCCGCTGTCTTGCATTCTTTCGATTCTTTTTTTTTCTCTCTCTCTCGCTCTTTCTCATCTGATCCGTGGATAAGCTCTGCTGCTGCAAGATAGCAAACTCAAGCAGAAAGAGTGACGAAGCGGAATGAACAGGCGTGGGACTGTTCCGTGAAAATCGAACAAACAGAAAACCACCAAAAAAAGGAATAGAAGCTTGCGTGATCGAGCTGGTGTGTCGCCTCTTTCCTGCTTGATGAGCAGATTCTGTAGAAATGCACAAAGCAGTGGAAGTGACCATGAAAGGCGCGCGCGGGGGTGTTGGGGGAGTCGATAAAGGGGCGAGAAAACATGCAACCACACATTTCACTGCAAAAACTTGTGAATTTTACACAAACCCCCCTTGAACACTCGGCTGACAAGACACACACACACTCTCTCTCTTTCTCTCTACCCCCCCCTCTCTGAAGATTGGAAACATACTGGAAGGCGCATACACAACACGGCTTGTAGCACTGTGACGTTGCGGGCGACTGTTGTTAAAACTGCTGCGAGCTCACTCTGAACTGGAAATGCCTCTCAGATGACACCAAAAGGGTTTGCCTTTGGTCTCCTTTTGCTTGCGCTCTGCGTGAGTTATCACGTCCAATTGGCACAAGCGGTCGATGCTTGCACCGTGTGCACTTGCTCGGGAACGGATGTCGATTGCAATGCCAAAGGTCTCTCAGCCGTTCCAAGCGGAATTCCCGCCACCACAGTGACATTGTACGCCATATTGCTCGAAATTTGCTCTGAATGGCTGGAATTGAAATGAATTGCTCTCCTCACTCAGATGATGTGGTCGATAGGTTTCTGAGCAGCAACCCGATCACCAGCATTCCCGCAAACGCATTCGCAACCCTGACTGCGCTAGAGTCCTTGTGAGCAAGCAAACACAGAAAGAATCACACTTGAGCAAAACAATGGCTTATTTGATTTTTCGACATTGTCTGCATGCAGGCGTCTGTACAACAACCAGATCACCGGACTATCTGCAAACGCTTTCGCAGGTCTGAGTGCGCTTACTCTTTTGTAAGCCAGCAAATGACACGCGAATCGCGCCCCCCCCCCCTCTCCTCGCACCAACGGCTGACTCGTTTTATGGCGGCTGCATCTTGTAGGGATTTGAAAGGCAACCAGATCACCACCATTCCCGAGAACGCATTCACAGGCCTTGCAAGTCTGCAGCAATTGTAAGCAAAAGCAAAGACGTGGCGAATCACAGACAAATGGCTCACTCGAATGCGACTCGATCCGTACTGTAGATGGCTGTACACCAACCAGATCACCTCCATTTCCGCAAACGCATTCGCAGGCCTGAGCGCGCTGACACAGTTGTAAGCAAGCAATGGCATGCGAATCACCGCTTGCGCAAGACTTACTCGTGTGTGCGGACATCTATCTGTAGATGGATGTACAGCAACCCGCTCCCCAACATTACGGCAAACGCATTCGCAGGCCTGACTGCGCTGAACTCAATGTAAGAGAGAAAAGAGTTAAAGAATCACGCACCAATGACTCACTCGACTGTGAGTCTATCTGTAGGCAACTGGACCGCAATCAGCTCACCAGCATTGTGGCAAACGCATTCGCAGGCATGCCTGCGCTGACAGACTTGTAAGCAAGCCAATTCATGTAGAATCACGGAAAACGGCTCACTCACGTTCGCGATTCCTATCTGTAGGGAGCTGCAGAACAACGCGATCACCAGCATTTCCCCCTCTGCATTCGCAGGCCTGACCGCACTGACTTACTTGTAAGCAATGCCAAAACAAAAAGAGAGGATGAATCACAGATAAATGGCTCACTTTTTTTTCTTCTGTTTTTGGCATCTGCGATCTGCAGAAATATGGTACAGAATCACATCACCGGCATTTCTGCAAATTCATTTACAGGCCTGAGTGCGCTGAACGAATTGTAAGAAGAAAGGACGTGCCGAATCACAACCAAAAGTTTACTCATTCACGATTCCACCTGTAGATATCTGTCCCAAAACTCGATCACCGTCATTTCCTCAAACGCATTCAATGGCCTGACTGCGCTGTCCTCCCTGTAAGCAAGCCAATTCATGTAGAACCACGGAAACGGCTCACTCACGTTCGTGATTCCTATCTGTAGGTATCTGCCGTCCAACCAAATCACTAGCATTTCGGCAAACGTATTTACAAATCTGCCTGCGCTGTCCTCCCTGTAAGCAAGCAATGACAGAATGCACCCCCACACAAATGGCTGACTTGCTGGCGACTCTACCTGCAGGAGACTCCAATCCAACTCGATCACGAGCATTTCTTCAAACGCATTCACAAATCTGCCTGCGCTGTCCTCCCTGTAAGCAAGCAATGACAGAATGCACCGGCACACAAATGGCTGACTTGCTGGCGACTCTACCTGCAGGAGACTCAAATCCAACTCGATCACGAGCATTTCTTCAAACGCATTCACAAATCTACCTGCGCTGAGCGCCTTGTAAGCAGGCAACGACAGGAAGACTCAAACATAAAATGGCTGACTTGTTGGCGACTCTATTTGCAGAGACTTATCCGACAACGAGATCACCGTCATTCCGGTCAATGCGTTCACAAACCTGCCCGGGCTGACTGACCTGTAAGCAAGCCAAAGTCATGAAGAACCACATGCGAAAGAGCTCACTTTTGTTTTTCTGTGTGACGACATGTAGGAAGCTCTACGCCAACAAGATCACCACCATATTTGCAAACGCTTTCTCAGGCCTGTCTGTTCTGGATTCCTTGTAAGCCAGCAAAGACATGAGGAAGTACAGACATGAGGACGCACACACCAACGGCTGACTTGTTGTTGTTGGCGACTCTATTTTTGGCAGAGATTTATCCGGTAACCTGATCACCGTCATTCCTGCCAATGCAATTGCAAGCCTGACTGCGCTGAATTTTCTGTGAGCAATCAAAGGCATGAAGAATCGCACACGAACTGCTCACTTGTTCGCGACTCTATCTGTAGATATCTGAACGAAAACCAGATCACCAACATTCCTGCCAATGCTTTTGCAAGCCTTACTGCGCTGACCGGATTGTAAGCAAGCGAGGCCAGGATGAATTCAGCACAAGCGACTCACTCGTTTGTGACTCTGCTTAGGTTTTTGCAGCAAAACCAGCTCGCCAGCATTGATGCGAATGCATTCGCAGGCCTTACTGCGCTGATCGACTTGTAAGCAAGAGAGGCCAGGAAGAATCACGAACAAACTGCTCACTCGTTTGTGACGCTATCTGCAGGGATCTAAGAGAAGCCTCGATCACCGTCATGCCTGTGAATGCATTCACGGCCCTGACTGCACTGACTAGCCTGTAAGTACAAACCAAGGACCTGAAAAATCTCTGACAAACGGCTCATTCGTGACGACTCTATCTGTAGCTATTTGAGTCTCAACCAGATCACCACAATCTCTGCAAACGTATTCGCAAGCCTGACTGCGCTGAATTACCTGTACGCAAGTAACGACGTGAAGAATCCCACAACAACCTGCTCACTCGTTTGCGACTGTATCTACAACTTGTAGAGATTTGTCCGCCAACCAGATCACTAGCATTGAGGCCTCTGCATTCACACGCTTGACTGCGCTGAGTGACTTGTAAGCAATTGCTCTGAGTTGAATGTGTTCGAGTCGCCTCTCACTTCAAGTTGCTCTTAGGTATTTGAATGACAACCCCTTCACCACTCTGCCGCCTGGCCTGTTTCAGGGCTTGCCCAACGGCTTGTATATGTCAGACTCTGGAGACCAATCCTTGAAACCCAACAACTTTGCCGTTGGTGGAAACACTGTTGCTCCGCCCAGCACATACGGCAGTGTTGACGAACCGTTCCGTACGTTTGACAGCTTCACGCGGTTGCAATCCGCCATGTAATCGTTTCTCTGACTTTTTTCTTTCTTTCTTTTGTGCATCGCAGCGTGCGATACAGTTTGTGCCACCTGCTATGACGCTGGCTCCAGTGCGTGCTGCGGGGTCAACTGCCTGACCTGCACTTCATCTGATCCCTGCACTCAATGCTATGAAGGTTATGAGATGATGAGCGGCTTCTGCCTCGCATCGGCTGCGACCAACGCGTCCATTGCTGCAGTTGCGTCTTCAGCGTCAATCGCCTCACAGGCGTCTGCATCATCTGCCAGTGCTGCATTGGCTGCCAGTGCTGCATCGGCTGCCAGTGGTGCATCGGCTGCCAGTGCTGCATCTGCTGCTGCGACAAATGTGCCCCAAGGGTCAAGTGATACATCCTCCGGAGCTATTATTGGCGGAGTGATTGGCGGCGTGCTCGCTCTCGTCTTGCTGGTTGCGTTGATTGTGGTCCTTCGACGTCGCCGTTCCTCAAAGGCGGCGTCCACCAGCTCGGTCGCTAAATCGCGCGAATCAAACGTTGCAAATCCAACCTATGAGACGCGAAAGGGGAATGCCGACCTCGCGTAAAATCGCAAAACTACTGTCTCTATGAGCCTGTCCGACTGTCGGTCTGTCTTGTCTGTCTTGATCGTGCATGGGGTTTGCTCAAGATGTTTACGATGTTTGGAGCAACCCCTCTTTTTGAAATTGCATCCTGTGGTTTGAAAATAAAAAATGACTTGAAAAGAAATGCTACCGAGAGCGCAACCTTAGAAAGGCGCAGATTTCAAAACAAAACGGGATTGCACCTCCTCCGCGGCTTCTCTCCCGCCGCCTCCCCTTCCTCTGTCTCCGACAGCAAAAACGCTCCAAACCACACAGCGAACAATTGGAGGGAACCTGAAGAAGGACGCTGTTTCGAACGAAAGGTTGCTGTATTCAACAAATCGGTGGTCAAGCAGAGCTCTTGTAAGCTGTAGTCTTGTAAGCTGTAGGGAAGGCATCTAAAGCAAGAAAATTGTAGTATCAACAAAACTGGTCGCTAGCGAGAAATCAGTGAACAGAATCAAGGTCTGCCTTATTCTGAGCGTCGGCAACGAGTCTCGGACGAGTGGGTTTTGCCAGCGCCACCCTTCAGGCGGACGACGAGGTGGAGGGTGCACTCTTTATGAATGTTATAGTCCATCAGGTTGCCGTTGGTGAGCGGCTTGCCTCCGAAAATGAGCAACTGGGCCTCTGCTTCGATGCCCTCCCGTTCCGCAACCTGAGCCTTGACGGCATCAATCGTAGCGGTCGGCTCGACGTCCAGCGAAATCGTTTTGCCAGTCAGGGTCTTGACGAAAATGTACATTGTAGTGTATATTCAGGGCGACAAAAATGGGGAGTGGACAGCCAACCGTGAAAGTTCAGCGCGTCAAACACAAAGACAGCCAAACGGCCAAACAGTGATTGTCGGGTTTGCACTTCAGGTCGTTGCTGCGCGCAGCCCTACCCAACACATCCCTTCAAGCTTATGCAACGTCTGCAATTCTAGAAGATGCAGCGCTGAACTCCAGCAAAGTTCCAAAATCGAAAAAAAAAACCCCCGCATACAGCCAAACCTCGACTGTCGCGCGGCGGCGGCGAACGATCGGTTTTGGCGCCTCGGGCCTTTGTTGTACGCAGCCCTACCCACCACATCCTTTCAAGGTTATGCAGCCTTTGCCATTCTGAAAGAGCGAGTCTCCCAAAGTGTGGCATTTGTTTAATCAATCACCGTTTTCACAAAACAGCTCTGTCAAAAGCTCACGAAACTCTGTGTGTGTGTGTGTGTGTGTGTGTGTCTGTGTGTGTGTGACTTGAGACTACCATTCGAAATCAGGCACCCTTCACGCTCATCGATGGATGGATGCGCGCTATTCAAAACCTTCAACAGTGATCTTTCTGAAGCAACAGGCATGAGTTTTGATGTGTGTCTGACTGTTTTCATTTTCGATCCCATCGATCTTGCGTCATGTCCTCGTCTCATCTCATCTCATCTCATCTCAGCCGACGCAGTCATTCTCTAGAAAAGTAAAATCAGTGTACGAATAATTTGATCAGCCAAAAAAAAAAAAAAAAAAAAAAAAAAAGCCAAAATGAATGGAGCTCCATTGTGACTTTTGACTTGTTGTTTTGCGGCGTCGCTCGGCCATTCCCGCGCTGCCTCATCGTCAAGCAGCGGTGGTTGCGAATGTGCATCCGAGAGTGGAGTGTTGCGGGGACGAGTGTGGTGGGAGATCAAAGCAGCAACATGGCGCTTTGAGCAGATCTCTCGCTTTTGGCTTTGTGGCTCATCTCTGCTGCTGCTGCTGACCCTTCCTTTCGTCATGTAGGGCACCATGTCCGTCCTAACACGATTCTCGAGCACCCTCGGCAGCCGGGCAGCCATCGCAGGCACCCAGACCGCGCTCCGTCGCTTTGGTACGAAAAATCCTCCCCTCTTCCTGCATCGTCACACTGCACACGGATCAGACGACCACTCAAACTCACTCTTGTCTACTCTGCCTTGGTGTAGCTGCCACGCACGCAGCGTACGCGCCAAACCCAGAGCGACAGATCGGCGACTACCCTGACTTTGCCCCATCCAGCGCCCAGCTCAAGGATCCCTCGCTCTACGAGGATGCCCAGGAGCGCCGCAACCTGAAGGATACTGTACAGTCCTGATGATGATGATGACGATGATGGTGCACCTATGCCATCATTTTTAGTGGGCTTCAACTCATCCAACCCCAAAATCTTTGCAGCTGCACGAGAACGACGAGCTCTACACTGTATGGGTTGTCGACGAAAAGTCGCCTGTTAGCCGCTCCACTGCGCTGAAGCACCTTTTGATCATGGCTGGGTTGCTGACCGGTTTGTATGGGCTTGCAAAGCTCTACGACGCGCCTTCGCGAAAGCCAACGGTATGTCCAAAAATTTGTTGCGTTTTGTTTTGTTGGTGAACTTGAGATCAACCTCGACCTATCTCACTTACTCACCCATGCACGCACAACAGACACAACGGGAACTCCCCTTCCACGAGCCCAACGGCTTTGCAAAGCAGCAGTAGAAAAAAAATCCCACTGTGTCAATTCTGTGTTTTTTGTTGTTTGTGCATTGTTTCGATGTCAGGGATTGTCGTCCCAATATCAAAATCGTGCTGTTGACTTGCGTTTACACGATTCATTTGTATTTTTTTTTTTTTTTTTTTTTTTTTTTTTGGGGGGGGGGGTTGGCAAGGAGAGGAAGCAAAGAAAAAAAAAAAAAAACAAAGAAATTGGATTACATTTTTATAAAGTCGCACTGACAACGAAAACACGCTCCAACAACAACAAACTACGACGTCACACAGACTTTTTTTCTGCGTGTTGCACTACAAGACAAGTCGATAGGTGATATAACGACCTGCGGTCTCGCTTTGACGTGTGATACGGACAACCTGACAAGAAGGGAATAGAGTCAGTCAACAGCCCAGCTAAAAATCACAAATGCCACGAATGGACATGTGCACCGTCGCATTCGAATAGAACATACCTGGCCCCTTCGCAAACCAAGATAGCGAGCAACAGGGTCTGTTGAGTGAATACGAGGCAACTGCGCCTCCTTGAGCTTGTACTGCTTGAGCAGTGCAATCTTATCGTCGTCTGACAGCACCTCATGCTTGGGCACCAACTAGAGTATCGCAAGAGCAAACAATAACGCATATTAGTTGCATTGATGGAAATTCGCTCCAAAAAAACCTTTCAACACCCTACAGTGTGACGGGTAATGTTCACGAGCAGCTCTGCCTCCTTAAACTCCTCAATGATGAACTGCGGCATGGCCTCGGCCAGGGTGCTGCGGGCAAACGAGGTTAGACAGTCCTGGACGACGATAATGCCGCGTTGGATGGACTGCGTGCTCATCTGCTCAATCATCTGGCGGATGGGTGCCACGCCGACCTTGACTTCGGTGGCAAACATGACAAGAATGGACTTGGTGGGGTCGTCCTTGTATGCAAAGTTGCACAACATGCGCTCTCGCCTGCAGGACGAAGCAAAACATGAAGTGAATGAACCAAAGTAAAGTCAAAGTGAGAGTTTTGGCCAAAAAGTCCATCCAAGCCAGACCCAAGTCTCCAACTACAAGACATGCACAACCACCTGCGCCCCCCCCCCAAAAAAAAAACACAGCCGCTTACACTGGGGTCAGGTCGTTGCCCGTGCAGACCTTGGCGCGGAACGTCTCGAGGTTTTGCTCGAGCTCGTCTGCAGTCACAATGTAATGGCGATCGTGGCACATCTGACACCAACAAAAAAAAAAAAAAAAAAAAAAAAAAAGCAAGCCCAACAGAGGAAACGCGAGTCAGATATCGCAGTCCGTCCGAGAGCGAGGGGTGTGAGGGATGCAGCGATGGCAAGTTTGTATGGAGCGAGAATTGAGATCTCGTCGACTTGTCGCAGCTCAAAAAGCCCAGCGACGAGCGAGCGAGCGACGGCAGCGTCCGCACATCGGTCAAGGCTCTTCACTCCCGGTGCAGAGACGCAGAGAGCGAGTCAAGTGCGGAGGTCGCCATTGGGCATTGGCGTTGGCAGGCGGACTCTGAGGACCATGTGGGAGTGGAATCGACCGCCAAGCCAACGCGCAAAAGACAATGCACCTCTCGGTCTTCCATTGGTCGGTGACAAGGTTGACAGAAGATTCCGCACTTTGAACATTGGCGACGATGGAATGGAAGCCAAGAGCCATTCGACAGGGCAGGAGTGGCGATCGATAGAGCGACGTTTTCCACTGCGTCTCGCTCTCTCTCTCTCGCATCAAGCCACAGCTCAACAAGCTCAAGTCGTGATACGATGATCGGAGTGCTCACCTGCATCACGGTCTGGTAAATGCGGTACATGCGCTGGAGATGTTGCTGCTCGGCCGAATCCATTTTGATTGTCGATTGAAAAGTTTACGAATTAAAGACTGCACCGACGCCAACGACGACGCATACTTACTCTAACCTCCAGCACTTTGAAACAAGCGTATTCAAGTTGAGGACTCCAAAGCAAATTGCAGAACGCGGTGGAGAGTGAAGGGGGAACAACGAGAACGAAGATCAAAAACAACAAAAACGCATTGTACTGCACAAAATAACATTGCACACAACGTATACAAATTCACAGTGAACAGCGTGCGAAACAAGAGCCTTGGTCTAACGCGCGAACGAAATGGTCAAACACCCTCTCGCTTTACAGGGTGTACTCGAACGGTTGCGGGGGCTCTGGCTCATCCGCCTCGTCACCAACTGTGTTTGCAGCAGACACCTCTGCAACAGCGTCGAAAATAAACAAAAGCACCAGTGAGCATTCACGAGCAAGATCCATCAGCAGCGCATCGATCAACTGGACGAAACAGGAAAAAACCAAACAAAAAAAAAAGCAAAACAAAACGCAACATTTTCTTACTTGGTGTGGGAATGGCAATCTCAATCAACTCTTCTGGCAACTCGGGCGTGTTATCCTCGACAATGACGATGCCGCCGACCAAAGCCGACTGAAAAAAAAAAAAGGGGAGAAAAGGGTTGCAAAACAACAGTCAGCAAGCCATTCACCACTGCAACAAACAAAGCCCAAAAAAGTTACCTTCAGGACAGTGCGATATCGCTCGTCTCGCAAAGAGGTGACATGGACTTGGTCGGGAACAATGCGCGCAGGATTGGTGAGGAGCTCAAAGTCAGGCTCGACCTCCTTGACATCCTCCTTCTTTTCTGCAGCTTTCTCGGCCAGGGCGGACTCCAACTGCAACAGGAAAGAAAGATAAAAAAAAAACCACCCACAAACATTCAACAAGTGAATAATTGCACCACAACTCCATCTTCGCAAAGAAAACCCCAACACAAAAAACAAACCCCCCGCTTACACTCTTCTCTTCAGCACCAGGAGAAGATGGCGCCGATTGCAAGGGAGAGCCGGGTACGCTCGTGTCCATGGACACGGCCTCGCCTCGGGCAATGGCAGCGGCCTTGTCGGCCTTGCGCTTGGTGCTCTTGGCCTTGGTGTAGGAAAGGACGGCCGTGGTCACCTTCTCCTTCGTCTCGACCTTTGGTGGCACGAGGGCGGGAGGATAGGCGAACTGCGAGGGCTTGGCAGCGCTGTGGAACTTGACTTGCGGCATCTTGAGGTTCTTGTTGAGGGCAATCAGCGTTGTCGGGGTGAAGGCGAGGCTGATAAAGTGTGTCATGGAGTGCCAGAACCAATGCTGGGTGAAGAGAAGGAGACCGACCACCGATGAGGTGCGAGTGTGTCCGATGCGCGACTGGAGCGAGATGGTCACATTGCGGCCACCAGCCTCAATCAGACCTTGGGCAAGCACGGCGCCAAACTTGGCCATGACGTCTTCGTGACGCTCGCCAATCACCTTCTCAAACAGCTTGCGGGTGCTGGCTGCCTTGGGCGTCTGCGCATCGCTCTGCTGGATCAAGACCATGGCGAGAGCAATCATGGCACCCTGTCGCACAAAGTCGACGGGATCGTTCGACAGCGGCTCGAGCAGCTCGATGGCATCGGCAGAGCCAGTGGCGGCACACGAAACGCCGAGAGCAAGCGCAGCACCGTACCGAACGTGGGGGTTGTACGACTCGGACAGCAGCGACACAACGCCGGGGACTTGCTTGGAGTCGCGGAAGAGCACAAAGCCCAGGCCGATGACGGCAGCGCGGCGCACATCGTCCGAAACGTCGCTGACGGCAACATGCAGCAGGCGGTTGATGGCCTTGTTGTTGCCAGTGCCGGCGTAGGCGAGGGAGACGGCCAACATGGCGCCGTAGCGCAGGACGGGATCCTTGTCTGCAGCCATCAGCTCGATGTGCGCATCGGCGAGCTCCTCGCGCTCGTACAGCATGAGCGCCATGCCGATGGCAAGACCGCGGATGATCTTTTCGTGGGCCGTGTCGTGGGCGTAGCGCAGCATCTCGTCCAGGCACTCCGAGTGGCCAGTACCGAGCATAATAAGACCCATGCCAATACCGGCAGCCTCGCCAGCTACCGCAGAGTCCGTGTTGAGCACGGCACGCAGTTCACCAAACAGCTCGGGCGTAGCAGTGCCCATCGCCGCCAAGCCCAGACCGAGGCTGCCGCCGTGGCGCACAATGTCGCCCTCGCAGTAGCCTTCGTCTGTTCGCGAGTGGGTGGCGTTCTTGAGCTGCTCCACCAAGAACGGAATGGCCTTTTTGCCGTGGTTGGCGTGAATCAGGCCGAGCGCAAACAGACCGCCGCCCTCTGCGAACGGGCCCGCGCCAGACTCGCTGCCTCCTTTTGGCAAGTATGGCGAGAGGATGTTGAAGCTCTCCTTGATGTGACCCTGTCCGAGACATAAAAAAAAAGCGAATGTGAGCGAACGTGTCGACTGGGAAAAATAAAACAAAAGAAGGGTACACAACAATGTACTATGCAAAATCGGCGGCTATTACCTTGTGAACAACACCGAGGCTGGCCGTCACGTTGAACTTGGCCCAGTGAGCAGCGCGACGAACCCATGCGAGATCCTGCCGCAAGAACGTGTCAATGCCCGTGCCAGCATGCATGAGAGCGTTTGCAATCACCGTGCCGCCGTGGCAAATAGAGTTGCGTTGAGTGGCCAGCTGTGGTCGAGAAAAAAAAGAAGAAAAAAAAAAAGAAGGGAAAGTATGCACATGGTTAGATTCAACAAAGTTTAACACAAAAAACCCCACACGCAGAGAAACCAACTTTGGTCTCGGCACTTGCCTTTGTGTTTTTCAAAATCAACAGGTCGGAATGGTTGTTGCGAAGCAAGAATTCCAGCTCGAGGCCGAGGGAGACTTCGCCAGTCAGAATAGCGTAGAGACGCGCGATGGGAGAGTCCTTTTCGAGAGTGGGCTCGGGAGCGGCGTCAGCGGCGGTGGGCTCTGGAATGGCCACGCCCGAGAGCTGGAGCAAGTGTGCGACGACGCGATGCACAAACTGTTGCGTGGCGCTCTCAAAGACATCGAACGCAATCTGGTAAGCAACCAGAACGCCGCGCTCGGCACCGGCAGCGCCGCAGAGACGGCCCTCGAGCAGATCGCGCAGCGTTTGGGCGACACGCTCGGGGTTGTTGAGGAAGATGAGGCACTGGCACACGTTGATGAGATCGGGCTCCGGCAGGCACATGTACTGGTCGACGAGCACTGCGAGCACAGAGTCGCGGAAGGCGCGCGAGGTGATGAGCGTGTTGCTAATGTTCATGCAGTATCCAAGCACGGCCGAGGTGTCTGAGGCCTCGGCAATGGCGCGCTGGAAAATGTCAATGCGTCGCGACTCGAGGGCAATGCCGATGGCCTGGCGGTAAGAGCCGTGGGTCAGGCAGCGCTCAAACATGCGATCGACCAGGGCGACCAGACGCGCGTCAATGTCGCCGCCCGCGGCAGCCGCTTGCTCCACGCCCGCGCTGGTAAGCACGTCTTGCGCAGCATCGGGGTTGCGCAGGGCAATGTAGCGGTCGATGCACTTGGACACAATCGTGTGAACAAACTCTGAGTTTTCATTCACGTTGAAGAGCTCGCCGGCGCCCAGTGCAAACTCGAGTGCGTCGCCAAACGATCCGAGGTGGTAGTAGACCTTCGAGGCGACCAGCGCGGCCAGCTGGCGGTTGTGGAACGCCTCGTCCTCGTACAGCTCCTCGATGCGGCGGACCGACTCTGAAATTTCAGCCCAGAACGTGTCCACCAAGCCGTTGAGCTTGCCAAGCGCGAATGCCTGCAGCTGCGGCTGGGTCTCGTCCAAGAGCGCAATGACGCCCGCTGTAGTGTTCAGAGAGAGAGAGAGAGAGAGAGAGAGAGAGAGAGAGAACGAGTGAGGAACAATGACAAAGTCAAACACACAAGAGAGAAAAAAAAAAAAAAGATGACCAAACGAGCAAGACATCATTGATGATCGCCGCGCGAGGGGGAGAGCTCAAAGACGAAAGTGATGACTGCGAGCGAGACATCCAGGAACGCAACGCAACGCAACGAGAACGCAGCAAAGAAACCGTGGGGATGGACGAGAAGGGGACAGCTAGCGGAAGGACGACGAATGATAAAAAAAAAAAAAGCCAAGATCGCGAAACGCCAATTTTGACTGAGGATGCATTGGAGCGACCAACGACCCGCTTCCATTGTGCTCTGCTCTCGCTCTGGTCTCCTTGTCTGTCTCTGGCGAGACTCAATCTCATACTGCGTTTGATCGTTGATTGCACGAGCGAGCTTCCAACGTGCGATTTGGCAGCAGCTTCAACTGAAACCCGAGCGTAAAGTTTCGAGATTCCCCAACTTCAGTCGACGACGCTCCAACAGCGAGTGTGGGAGGGCTGGACCTCGAGTCTCTCCCTATGTGTAAGATTGCTGGCGTTCGATGATGCCATGGGTGCTGCAGGAGCGGAACGGATCGACAGGCTCGCATCAAGTCGAAAGGAAGCGAGCAATGTCAAAATGCGAACAAAATGATGAAAAAAAAAAAAAACCAAACCTGCTGAAGTGAGAACGCTGGCAGGCATATTGGAAGAATCTATAGGGAAAAAAGTGACTGACTCGAACAAGAGATGAGAAGTCATAGATCACAAATCATCGAGTCGAGATCGTAGTGCTAGAAATCGTCCGATCGCGGAAGATCTGTGGAGACTCTGTCAATCTCAACAGCTCGAATTTTTGCAAATCGACTTCAATTTCAACAAGGGAGGGTGAATAGTATCACTTTGTATTGTGACAATGCAGAACAGAGTACAAAAAGCGCATCGAAGGGGGAAAAAACAATCACAAGAAGGGGGGAAAAGGAAAAAGTATAAAATCCTTTACAAAAGGAGCAGAAGGGGTAACGCCAGAAGAGGCGAAAATCGTAGGGGGGTCATAACAACAGCGATAGCAGAAATAACAAGCAAAATCAAGGACACTCACAAACAAAGAAGAGAAAAAATCATACAGGCAGACACTAAAAAAAAAAAAATCACAAGAGCAGAAAACAAAAAAAGCAAGACAAAAGGGGCAAACAAAAACAAAAGACAAAAAACCACAACAAAACTAAACAAGAAAAATGCAACCAGTGCCCTCCAGCCGCTGAGCTTAAGCTTGGGGACACGAATCATAGTGATCGAGACAGCAGTCACCAAAGGTGCGGCAAGAGCTGTCGCAGTTGCAGTACACTGGCGGGGCGCCAGCCGCTTCCACATACACGACGCCGCTGCAGCCGGATCGCTGGCAGGACATGGCGGGTGTGTTGGCGGCCAGCGCTGTCTTGACAAAGGCGAGCTGCGAGGTGACGCAGACGTGGACCTCGATCGTGTTAGCCGTGACAATGCGGTGGGGCGAGGCGCAAGTCGACGACGCTTCAATCCAACGCGACTTGACACGATCGTACACGACCACGTCGGGTTGCTCCACGCTCGCGGTAATGTTAAAGTAGTCTGCATCCCACTGGAGGAGCACGCGGTAATGGTTGGTCGGCTGAACATCCACGTCAACGTTGGTGGACGTGCTAAACGCACGCGCCATCGCCGTGAATTCAAGGTAGGTCTGGAAGGGCGGGATGGTGGCGGGATCAATCACGCGACGGAAATCCACGGTCGTCGAGTTGGACGAGCTGGTCGCCGAGCTCGACGAGAAGGCGTTAATGTCCAGGTCAGTCAACTGGGCCGTCACAAGCACGTAGTCGCCCGAGAAAGGCGAGCCGTCCACCGTCATGTTCACCTTAGCCCAGTGGGAAACTGGAGCGACAGGAGTGGCCGACGCAGACGGAGCCGCCGCCGCTGTGGTGGTGGCGGCCGGGCCTGGCGTGGCGCTGCTGGGTGTCGGTGTGACGGAAGCGGCGCCACAGGTAACAGTGCTCTCGTCCTGGCATCCCAGCGTAAGGCACGACGACGAGTCCACGACGTTGATGCCGTTGGTGGAGCGAACAATCGACATGCCAACGTTGTTCCAGACACGAAGAGTGTTGTAGTAGGTGCGCGGCGTCGCCAGCTGGAAGTTGCGGAAGTAGATCGAATGACCAATCACCCAGTACGTCGAGCGGTCGTTGAGGCAGATGGCGTTGACGAGGCCGTCCGGGCCAGGCACGCCGCAGCCAGTTTCAATTTGAGGCAAGCTGCGCGTCACAAGCGCAAACATGGAGCCAGTTGGCGATGCCGAGGCGCCAGCTTCAGTGAAGGGCATAATTTCCTCGCCGCCGGGTGTCACACCAATGGCCCAGTCGTACGACTTGATGCCAGACTCGTTGTCAACGAAATCGCCAAAAGCGATGGCCATGTTGAAGCGATCGGTAGACCAGGTGCGGTCATCGGTGGAGGTTAGCGAGGCACCGCCGTTGAGCTCGCAGGCAATGGCCGCGCCGTACGTGTCAATCACCCAGCCAGCAGCACTGTCCGGGCCCGAATTATCGACAAGCAGACCGTTCGAGGGGTAGGTAATGCGCAAGCCAGCGCCGTTCGTCGCCTCAATCGAAATAAAGTACATTGTGTTTGTCACGAGGGACAGGCCAGTCAAACGATGGCTCGTGATGGCGGCGGGGAAGTCGACCCAATCGGTCAATTCAGTGTCGCTGGTGGCCGTGCCGGCCTTCATGCGGTACATGACAACAGCAGACTGCGCGTCCTTGAACAGCCAGCGGAAGGACATGTCCTCCGTGTACCGCTGAGCATGGATCGGGGCGAGCTCGTAGCCAGGCGACGGGAAGGGCGAGACCATGTCAATGTACTGGAAGGTGGCAGGAGTCGTGTCGATGGTGATGCCGTTGCTGTACACGGTAGTGGACAGACCAGCGGCGTTCACCGCGCGCAGGGCAATGTAGTACGTGATTGGGAAGATCTTGTCCAAGTCGTCCACGGGGTAGGGTTCAACCGCGTCGGGATCAATCACGCATGTGCCAGTGCCACGACCCGAGCCCATGTAGCCACCGGGGCAAGAGCACTTGTAGCTGCCGAACGTGTCTTCGCATCGAGCAATCGCGTCGCACTCGAGATCCGGCGGGAAGTTGCGCGTGACGCACTCGTTCTCATTCGAGCAAAAGACACCGTCGCCTTCGAAACCAACGTTGCACACGCACGAGCCAGTCACAGGACCAGCCGTGCCATCCGTGTTGCCGTCGACGCAAGAGGCGTACTCGGAGCAGAGATCAGCACCGCCCTCATCGCACCACGAGCGAACAGCGACACTTGCGCAGCGAACGCCAGTGTAGTTGATTGTGCACGAGCAGTGGCCGGTGAGCGAGTCGCATGTGCCATTGTTCTCGCAGGCACAGTCGTCGACAAAGGCGCCGAGATTGCGGAGTTCAAGAGTGTAGCGGCCGAGCACGCTGCGGAAGCCACGAACAAGCGGCAAGTATTGCTGGTCCTTGA